TCGATAAGAAAAAAGAAGATCTAAGCATATGCGACAGAAGATGAAGTGGAGTCTCGCCCCGAACGCATTGATTGTCTGCTGTGCTCCGCGCGCTTGGCAGACACCAAGACGCTAGGCCCGGTTAGAAACGGTGGCGTTAAAAACCACGTGAGAGAGCTCGGGAACAAAACAGAAAGAACGAGAAAGTTCCGCGGGTGTTTTATAAAAAGGGCCGTCGGCAGTTTTGGACAAATTCAAGGACCTATCAAGTTTTTCAAGGACCTAAGACGGTTTTCAAGCACTTTCAAGGACCGAAATTTAGCAACAAAAAAAATTCAAGGACTTTCAAGGACTCTCAAGGACCGTGGGAACCCTGAGTTATGATATAATTACTTTCAATGAAATTTTATTTTACTCTTTCTTAGTTGTGAATGGAAAAAAAGAATGGGAAAATGGAGAAAAAAACATTGAACGAAAAATTAACCAAGGTGCTCACTTTCCAAAAGCAGCAATATTTCATGAGACTTTCATAGTAAAATAAGTAAAATTTGAAGAAATTGGTACATTATCATGGCATAAAATAAAATCATTTTAAATAATTTCACATTTATAATTATGTATATTAAAAATTTAAATATATATACAAAATAAATTTGGTAATATTTTTTAAAAAATTAAAAACAAAATTGTTTATTGTTTCATGTTTTAAAGCTTCATGATATTTAACAAACAAAAAATTATTTTATAATTCAATATCAATAATAATCAAATTCAATAAACATTTTATACAGGATCAAGGAAAACATGAGTTAATTTTCAAAAATTTTTATTATCATAATATTTTAACTAATAAATAAACTAATATATAAACTAGTATATATAAATTCTAATACTAACTAATAATAGAACTAATAATATAAACATAATATTTGAACTATTAAATAAAGCAAAAGCTCAATTATAAAAAAAGGCTCAATTATAATAACAAAAATTATTAATAAGAATTATTTATTAAAATAACATTTATGAAAGAAAAAATGAATGGAAGTAACACAAAATAAGTTTTTACAAGATACTAATTATATAAAACATTTTCAATGTGTCTAATATTTGATTGAAACACAATTCTGGAAAAGTTATCAGTGATCATTTAAAAATGTAACAGTTCAATGATTACCAAAGTAAATAGTGAATTTAATGAGAAATTTTAGTTCTTAGAGTGATATTTTCCACTCTGAAAATTGTAGGTTTTCACCATTTCTATAGAAAATTATAATGCTTGCTAATATAAATTAAAATTAGTTTAAATTTTTGATTAATTTTTTTATATATTAACAAGTAATTATTACAACATAAGTACACACTAATGCAACCTATTATAATACAATCAACATTTTAAAGGATTTTTAACAAAAAATTTTATCAAATGCTACACTACATTAAAAAAAAGGACAATAATTTACCTTTACTCCCCGATAAACAAATCCTTTGTTATAGAGTTGCTTGAATGTGTACCATACACTCTCCATGAAAGAAGGATATAAAGTTTTGTAGTCATTTTCAAAATCAATCCACCTACCCATACGACCAACGATTTCCTAAATAACAAAAAAAAAAAAGAAAGAAAAGAAAAATAACAAAAATAAAACTTATTATTCAAAATTTCTTAAGCAAGCAATGAATAAGTAAAATGCATTTCACAATAAACTTTAGAAAAAACAACTTAATCCAGCATGTGAAAATTTTTTAATTTCGCCAAATATAATATATAATTCTAGATTTACTACAATAGTAGTAAATGAGTAAACTTGATATATTGAACCACATTGTGAAAATCATAAATTAAAGATAAGGAGATAAAGATTCTAAATATTATTCTAATCAATTTAGGTAAATTAGTTTTAATGTTTTTCACATTACCAAATAAAGGCTGTTAAGTTAAAAAATAATATATTCAACACATAATATTAAAATAAGATTTAGACATTTTTCTGAGAAATCATAATTTTTCAATTAAATGTCAAGTTCAATTAAATGTACAGTTGAATAACAAAAAATTCTAAAATGGCTGCATTGCACCAAACAATATTATGTACTTTGAGTAAAAAAAAGAAGAAAAAAAAAGAACTGCAATTTAAACTAAGTCAGAAAATAAAATGAAAGTAGGTAAGATCATTGAGGCTTAAATTGCAACTTGTGTAACATTAAATTGTAATGTATACATTTATAAGTTTTGCTTCAAATTATTATTCAAAACAAATGCTTAAAAGAAAACACTTGGACTAAAAATTGTGAAAATATTATTTTAATGAATATGAACTCCGATGGCCATACTTCCCACTCCTTTGCATAGCGCATCACAATTTTTCGACATTCATTGTTGTAATTTGCAATTCCTAATTTTTCGACATCTTTTGGGCCTTTAATATCAAGAGTTTTGTCAATTTCGTATTCCTGAAATAGAATTTTAAAAAAAAATTTAAAATCCATTAGTACAAACACATATCTAAATCAAAGGAGAAAGGCAATACCTTATTGACTTTTATAATAATTAAGTCCTACCATGAACTATATTATATATAATCAATGTCATAAACTAATGTAAAACATTATGTTTTGAGAAAAGTGAAATAATCAGACATCAGATTGTCTTGTTTGAAGTATAAATCTTAACTTACCTAAGGTCAAATGTCTAATAAAATCAAAAGCAAAAAAATGCAACTGAAATTTATTAGTCTAAATATATTTCAAAATTAAATGGAGTTAATAAAATTTAAAAAAAAAATTATCAAAAATTAAAATAAATTAAAGATTAGAGTTATAAGAAATTTTTTCAAAGTTTTGTAAAAAAAAATTATAGTTCTAAGTCTTAACCATATTCTTAGTATTTTATATTTGGATATTTTTGTAATATAGAGGGATTAATTTTAAATGAAAAATAACATTTAGAATTTCATTTTAAAAAGTAGGCTGTAGTTAAAAGTAAATATTTTGTGAATTATTGCTTCAGATTAAGCTCTTAAAATCTAAAATGGATAGACACAAATTCAAAGAATATAAATTTGATAGAAATATTGAAACATAAAAAAAAAGAATAAGAACTTCCAAAATCATTTATTTAGAAAGAGCAATTTTTTTCTTCAAATGAAACTAATATTAAGCTTGGAAATCTGTCTTCTCACATTCAGAAACCTTATTAAAGACCTTTAGTCTTAAAAGATGATTAAATTTATATTTCGCAACTGTGTTATAGTGGAAAATAAGCTTAAAAAAGTAGCAACCTCGAACATCAAAATCTTTAGCATGATTGGAATTGTATTTGGAATATCAAAGCAGACAATATTCATCTATAAATAGATATATGATTCCAGGAAGAAGAAATTATCTGAAATTTTTTTCTCAATGTGTAGTTATAATTGCCAAGGAACTCAAAATAAGTCGAAAGTACTTAATTTTTTTTCTCTTGTACACAGAAGATATTTAAAAGATTGTAATTTTTATACACAAAATCAACATTTATCAAATTTAAAGAGAGAAAAAGAATTTTTTTAATCCAATAATAAGACTGAAACACAGATTTACGATATTGAGTGTGCTGTAAAATTATTACTGAAATACACGGTTCAAGATTTTATCGTAGTATGATATTAATAATCTATATAAGCATAGAAATAAAGAGACACATTATAGCAGCTAATTGATGCCTTCACGGCTTAAAAACATTTCCAAAGTCAAAATCAATTAAAAGACTAGCAAAAATAATGCTATATAAAGCAATCATTAGAGCTGTCTTACATTATAGATCCAAAACATGGCCTTTAACTAAATCACAAGCAGACCTGTTTGCTGTTTTTGAAAGAAAAGCCTCGAGTAAAATTTTGGGTGTTTTAAATGTAGTTAGATTATGGAGACAACATAATTTTGAGCTATATAGGCTATTCAAGGAAGGTGATATCAACAAAAACATGAAAATAAGTAGCTTAAAGCTTGTGGGTCATATCTGACAAAAGAACCCCTCTTCTTGATATTTAAGATCTTCAATTACAAACCAATGAGAATTAGAGTTAGAGGTAGGGCAAAGAAAATGTGGCCTAACTGTGCGGAAGAGGATTTTTAAATCCTCAAAATTACTAACTGGAAAAGAAAAGAGCAGAATAAAGGAAGATTCTAGGGAAGGCTCTAGCCCACAAAGGGCTGTCATGCTAATAGAAGTATACTATGGAAAATTAATTGGATTTAATTTTCAATATATCAACTGATTAAATAATTCTTCTGTTACAAATAGGAATTTTCAACAAAATTGCTTCTCATTAAAATATAAGTTCTCAAAAAATAAGAAAAACACTTTTAAATGTTTACAATTTGGGATTGATTTTAACATTAACAATTTTATACTTTTGTGTATGCCACAGTAATTTATTAATTCTAGTCAAGGTTATTAGGGAATTTCTTTTTCACTAAATTCATCTGAATATGTTTTTTTTCCCTGTGTAATCTGTGAAAAAATCTGGGTAAAAAAAAAAGTTGTTATTGCACGTGAAGGAGAACTTTGAAAAAATAGGAGGGAAGATATGGGTGAAATAAATGCCTTGTTAACGAGATTTTGCACAAGCAACAAAAATTAAATTTTGGATCGGTGGAACACTTGACAACATCATTAATAAATAGATAGATTAATAGAGTGAATTTACATAGAGGCAGAATGCAGGAAAAACACAGCTTCTTCAGAAACATATTTGATGACTGTAACACGTGAATAAAGTACAAATTATTAGACGAAAGAAAAAGGGAACATAATCATACCTAAACATAAGCGAGTCATGTGCCAGAGCACGGACTCAACTTCCGGAAGGATCTTACATAGTAGCTTTAACAATCAATGGGAGAGAGAGGGAAGTCAGATCAAGTCTCCATTTTTTTAATTCTCCATTTTTTAAGAGATTCGACGTCATCAACCCACTACTAGCTACTGAGCATCTTGCATAAATTATTTTACAGTTAGATGAAGAGTTGAGTAGTAACTGGCTTCTCTCATGGGGAAAAACATTGCCTCACAAGCGTGGTTTGTTAAACTCCTGATGAACGCCAGATATTAAACTTTTAAGACGCCACACTGTGACCTAACTAGAGATAAACAACAAGCATAAGCTCGGCGGATTTGACGCGATTATCAATAATATTTCTAGCAAGATAGGTAGCATTCTGTGAATTAGCAGTAGAATCGCACGCCTGTATGTACCTTTTATTTAAATTAGCAAGGTCTTGAACATACATCTGAATACATATGACAACCCTTTAGCAAGCATTTGTCCTAACCTGACTAGAGAATACGCATCTGTTTAAACTTAAGTATGGAATTTCAATGTGCACCGAAGTTTCAAAATAAAAACATTAAACTTCATTTCATAGCCTTAATAGAACTCAGCGACAAAACACTAAAAAGACATCTATCTTATAATAAAACTTACTACAGGTAAACCATGACAATCCCATCCAAAACGACGATCAACATGAAATCCAGATTGGTGAGCTACTCGAGTCACAATATCTTTTATTGTTCCAGCAAGAAGGTGACCATAATGAGGGAGACCAGTGGCAAATGGAGGACCATCATAGAAAGTGTACCTTTCAAACAAACAAATTAAACAATGCAATTTTCAAGCTGAAGAAAATAAATAAATGTTGTAGTATGTGTGGTATTGTGACTCGTAATAAAAAAAATCAGTTTTAACCATTACATTTAATTATTTACATTTTAAACAGTTAGCCTAATAAAATAAAAACACAAGCTTGAATATTCTAAAAAATATATATAAACAGGGATTTATAAAAAAATTCAAAGTTTGTAGGAGACAAGGACAACTTTTAATAGCAAGCATATTATAGATTGAAAAGTAGCATAACAGTTTTTTGCTTTAGGTTCAATTTTACAATAATATTAAACACCAGCTATGATTCTGTAGGCGTCACCCTAACAGAGGTTCGTAAACCCCTGATTATATACACAGCGGTCCGAAGCAGCGTGCTAAAAGTAGCAAAACTACTACAGTTGACACTTTTCAAAAGAAGTAGTGTATTAAGAAGAATGCAATACAATAAAACAGCAGTTTGTAGCAATTTTTAACAACTGCTTTTGACATTAGTTTAGTAAAGAAACAAGATTCAAAAGCAACTAATTTTTCAAATCTTTGCAAGTCTGTCAATGGACACGATAAAAATGCCCCAGAGTCCAAGCATTAATAAAAATTATAACAAATGCTCTAGAGCGAGTCTTTTTTCTTTAATCTAGCTATTATATATAATGACAATTATTTAAACTAGTTGTCAAGAATACTGGCAAATTTATCTCTTTGTCAATACCTTCAAGTGCAAATATACATTCATGGAACGCAAGAATACTAGATGTAATTTTAACGGAAAGAATTATATTTTCTCCGTACTTCCATTTTTTCGAAGAAATAAAAGAGCAGTAATCACTTAACAAAATCACAAACATTTTATAGATTATTAACATTTTTTTTAAATNAAAAAAAAAGTGTCGATCTATGCTTTCATTTTGCTTAATAATTAAAGTTAAAACTGAACTTTTTAAAAATAAAGTATTTATAGTGTCATTTTCGCTTATAAGTTTAAAATATTTTTATAAGTTTAAAATGGTATTTTTTTTAATATAATGGCCAAGAAGGTTTTTTTGAACTATGTTTATGAACGGAAATAATGTTTAATTACGTCAAGCTGAAAGCTAATAACCAGAAAAAGTCTAACTTATTTTTACAAAGAGAAAGATGCAAAGTTATCATAATATCTTTGCGTGCGATCTTCCGAGATCTGTGGACACAGTGATGTCATGAGGAGGGAAATTGTAGCTTCAGCTCTAAGAGCGCAGTGAACTAGTCCTTCTATTCTCTTTAGCCCTGGTGGACAGCACGCGTCATCAAAGGTAGGAAAGTCATTCTATGGCACTTACGTGCGTCAGAACTTAAACACAGAAATGCGGAAATTGGGGTGGTTTTTTAAAGAGTTTCAGATACTTTTCAAGGTCATTTTAAATTTTTCAAGGATTTAACATTATTTTCAAGTACTTCTAGGGGCCCTTGAAAATCAAAATGAAATTCAAGTACTTTTCAAGGTTTTTTCAAGGCCGCGGGAACCCTGAATTCAGCAACAAAACACTAAAAAGACATTTATCTTAAAATAAAACTTACTACAGGTAAACCATGACAATCCCATCCAAAACGACGATCAACATGAAATCCAGATTGGTGAGCTACTCGAGTCACAATATCTTTTATTGTTCCAGCAAGAAGGTGACCATAATGAGGGAGACCAGTGGCAAATGGAGGACCATCATAGAAAGTGTACCTTTCAAACAAACAAATTAAACAATGCAATTTTCAAGCTGAAGAAAATAAATAAATGTTGTAGTATGTGTGGTATTGTGACTCGTAATAAAAAAAATCAGTTTTAACCATTACATTTAATTATTTACATTTTAAACAGTTAGCCTAATAAAATAAAAACACAAGCTTGAATATTCTAAAAAATATATATAAACAGGGATTTATAAAAAAATTCAAAGTTTGTAGGAGACAAGGACAACTTTTAATAGCAAGCATATTATAGATTGAAAAGTAGCATAACAGTTTTTTGCTTTAGGTTCAATTTTACAATAATATTAAACACCAGCTATGATTCTGTAGGCGTCACCCTAACAGAGGTTCGTAAACCCCTGATTATATACACAGCGGTCCGAAGCAGCGTGCTAAAAGTAGCGAAACTACTATAGTTGACACTTTTCAAAAGAAGTAGTGTATTAAGAAGAATGCAATACAATAAAACAGCAGTTTGTAGCAATTTTTAACAACTGCTTTTGACATTAGTTTAGTAAAGAAACAAGATTCAAAGGCAACTAATTTTTCAAATCTTTGCAAGTCTGTCAATGGACACGATAAAAATGACCCAGAGTCCGAGCATTAATAAAAATTATAACAAATGCTCTAGAGCGAATCTTTTTTCTTTAATCTAGCCATTATATATAATGACAATTATTTAAACTAGCTGTCAAGAATACTGGCCAATTTATCTCTTTGTCAATACCTTCAAGTGCAAAGATACATTCATGGAACGCAAGAATACTAGATGTAATTTTAATGGAAAGAATTATATTTTCTCCGTACTTCCATTTTTTCGAAGAAATAAAAGAGCAGTAATCACTTAACAAAATCACAAACATTTTATAGATTATTAACATTTTTTTTAAATTACATATTTGCTGTTGAGAAAGGCAAAAAAAGAAAAAAACAAATTAGTAAAAAAATTATATAAAAACCTGGCTCATACAAATATGTATGAAGAATTCTTAATAACTCCTTGTGTTTAATAAAAAAAAAAATTATTCAAAACAATTTTGATCACTGGCATCAATTATGTTTTTTAACAACGTTTGTCTCCTAAAAGAAGAGACTACATTACGAAAGTAGTTAACAATTGGTACTTTTTAAAATAAAGTAGCTACAGTTAAATACAAAAAAATTTAGCTTTTCTCCCAGATAATAACTATAGTATATATAACTATATTATAAAAGCAGGCTACAAGTGATGAAAACAAGGAAACGCAAAAAATAAAAAGTAAAGGGAATTTAAAAGAAAGAAGAAAAGAAATTATTAAGAATTTTAAAAACTAAAAAAATATCAATTAATCAGGAAAAAAATTTTTTGTCATAAACTCAAAAGAATAGTGCTTTCTGATATTATAGAAATATAACCAAAGCAAAATATATCAATACAATAATATATAGTTCTCATTGAAATGTTCTCTTTTTCTTCATTTGTAATTGTTTCTTATATATACAGACAGACCTCGATATAAGGTCACCCTAAGGGACATTGCAAAAGTGACCTTATAAGCGGGGTGACCTTTTAACAGATTCATTAGCAGGTCGTAACTAAGCACGTAAATAGTACACATTATGATTTTTTAAAAATGGTAATACAAACAAAAACAATCGGCCACAAATTAAATATTTTGGTCAATAAATTTTAACAGAATTAGTAAAGAATTAAGGAAAGTTAGATTTAAAAAAAAAATATTATTTAAAATAAAGCTGTTTACAATTTTCCTCAAAGTGTACATGCATACAATACATCTTACCTTATTTAAAATAATCATTTATGCAGGTCTGTCTCGTTTGTGGTTTCATTTTTCGAACAATGTTTTCTAGATTTAATAAGTTCTCAAAATGTTCCTCAGCTCCCTCATGGTTTGTAAAAAAATTTCGTATGACAATTATTGCATTGAAGGCTTGGGTTACAGCTACAGTCTCTGGATCACTGTCATTGTCCTCACTGTCCACAACTTGTGAAACAATTTCAGAAATTGTAGCTTGTTTGTTGGCTGCAATATTTTCCTAAAACTCGAGAGGGGTAATTGCCTTGTAAGGAAATTAAATAGGCTTTTGTTAGAAAAGAGCTCCCCTCGACTCAGATTAAAATGACCTTATAAGCGATAACAATTTTTAAAACTTGGCCATATATTCGATAATCTGTAACAAAGAATTCCTATGCAGTGAGCCGGAATTTTGGAAAAGTGACCTTATATGCAGGGTGACCTTATATGCAGGGTGACCTTATATGTGGATAACCTTATATTGAGATATATATATATAATTTGTTTAGCTTAACGGAACTGAAACAGAGCTGTTTTAATCATGATCAGCATTTATTCAGACACTGTTCTAATTTTATCCATAATAATACAGTGGAAAATCCAATGCCTGATATCAGGGCCTTAAGCAAGCCCGAAATTCGATTTTTTTAATGCAAGGATTTTTTAAAGTAAGCAACCATCAAAACTTGCATTATTCAATAAAAAAAATAACAAATAGATGATAAATAATGTCAATTACAATTACAATGCTTTCTTACAGTTTGAATAACATTGAAAAAATTAAAGAATGTGTAGTATGATAAAAAATATAGAAAAAAAAATAAAAGTGAGCAAATGAAAATTTGAACTTCTTTTTCATGAATAACGATGCATTCTTTTTTCTTTTCTTCACAACTGATGTAAAGAATTAGCAGAGCAGATAATCAAATAATTTGATTTAATAAAAAAATAATAATGTAAAACAAGGAATAAAATAGAGTAATTTTTTTAAGTAAAACATTTAGAATTTACAAAGAAATAAAGCTTGTCTACTCTGATCTTCTCAAATTTTATCAGATCCCAAGAATTATTTTTGTATGGAGAAAAGAAAAAACAATTTGCATACTTTAAAAATTCCAAAATAGAGGTTGTTCGTAAATGTAACCCAGGATATGAAACTTTATACTGAAATTAAAAACATATATTAACAAAACCCATCATAAAAATTTTGCAATATGTAAAGCTTTTTTTAGAATAATAATTCTCTCAAGGCAGTAAACTTCGATAAATTTTTTTTATATATAATTTAGTCTTATTTATAAGATAAATAAAGGTATGAAGGAAAAGAAAACAATCAACACTCAAGTTTAAACAGCAGAAAGAACCAGGAGATAAAAATCAATACTTAGGTTTGCCTTTGGACTGTTTCAGACAATTTTTGAAAGCATCAATAGATTTCCAAAACTGAAGTATTTTCTCCTCTTCTTTAGGAAAATCAATATATTCTGGAACTGCTTCAGCCATTTTGGTCTAAAAATATGTTTGAAATTTCAGACATGAAATATATGTAAATGATATAAGAATCACTAATATTTTTTTTTCTTTTTAAAATTGGAGAGTGTGAAAGTTATTCGGAATTTCTAAAATCAATATTAAGTTTTAGCCACAGCCTAGCAGTGACACGAAAAAACAAAAACATCCCAGAATAAGGTAGCTTGAAAAGTAAATTGCATACTTTTGAACAAGACACATTATTATTTTTTTTTTTTAATTTGTTCCCAGTGAAAGAATTAGGCAGTTTTAGTGATTTTAGTTTGCGCAAACTAGAAGTTCCTTCTATGGAAATATCCCCAAAAGAGTGCATAAATTAACTTCATTTTTAAACTAGCTTTATTTACCTATGCATTAAACACTGTTTAACTTTAGTAGGAAGTTTTTGTTACTGGTACTTGTGCCAAAAATGTCGCCAAATTTCGACAAAGCCATACAGTAGTATAAGATGTATGTATCAACACCTGCGCCAAATGATCATGACTTCAGGGCAGTGAGAAACTAAAAACAAAACAGAAACTCTAAAGGCTTAACTCATAATCAAAGCCTGGCTGCAGGATAAATTAAATGTTTTTTTTTAAATTTTTGAAAAAGCTAAAAATCTTTTGGCACCTAGGTGAAGTTAGTTGACTCAAACAAGTACAGATAAGACAAGTTCCTCAAAACAGTTAAATCTTGAAGTAGTTCTGCTTTTTCTACCTGGCTCATACTAACATTCCAAATAGAAGAAAAACAGATTTAGTTTTACTACCTCTGCACAGTCTCTGTAAACTTCTACACGTTCAATAATTTTGTATGGTCTTACAGAAGCAAATAATGCCACCATATGTTAAACAATACATTCAGGTAGAGACATAATAATTTTACCTCATCAGAACATTTTCAGGCTGAGAAAGTTCTGTATAGATGAAATGTAATTTTATTCAACATAGCGTAAAATTGTTTTAAATTAAGAATATTTCCAACATATTCTTAAAATCTGAAAGCTTCATATACACCACAAAAAGTTTTAAGATACTTCGCGGAAAATTTTATATGACACCTTAAGCTCATAATGACGTATATACTATTTTATAACATGAACTTATAAATTTATATACTCTATTTAATACTGAATTAAAGACCAAGAATTATGATAAAAATAATAACTAACGTATCCACAATATAAATACATTGAAAGCATAAAATATTCAAATCATAATTATAAAGATAGAACTAATAAAAAACATTCTTTTCAACAAATTAACAACCCATTTTAAAACTTTAAATAACTTCTATGTCATAAGTTCAAATGTCATTGTAATTTTTTTGATACTCTTTAACAATTTCTACTTACAGATTATTAGCATGTGGACAAACAAAACTGTTCCACTGTTTACAACTAAAAAATCTGCTGAAAGGAAAGCTGAACCGCAAACCTGGCAACGCCGCACTCTTTTGGTTTTGTTATCAAAAAGCGAAAAATACGATTTTTTCTACAGCATTTCATCATGCAGAAGTTCCATTTCTTAATTTTTGCAAGTGATAAAGATTTTTCTTTGCTTATAAATCTCATGAAATAATTTCCCATTATTTCATCATTGTTATTATTTTCTATAAACAAAAACCAAAATTTACAAGATAATAGAAAGCTAAAAGCAAAACTTTACTTGATGACGAATTCGTTGCCTGCACTACGCCTAAAATCCAATCAAATTTGGTCTAAAAGCTATCTGAAGTGAAGAGATTCAATTATTTATTTTATTGTGAAATTTTGCGGAAATCTATATATATTGATTAAAATTTAGTTTAACTATTAAAAATTTTAATTGTAGATGAATCAGGACAATTTCAAAATTTTAGAAAACAATTTAAAGTTTTAACTTGACTTGTTAACATAACTTGTTACGTGAAAAAATCCAGTTGCATAATTATCTATGTAATTTGCATGACAATTTTCTAGAAAAACTTTCGAGAAAACTTAATTTTATGAATTCATCTCCTGTAAAAATTTGTCTGTGCTGAAATAAATCAAGCAAGTGATGTCTATTTCATGTTGAGTTTAACTACGTGTAATGTATATTCATATGTTTTTATGAAGTATTCTGATTGGTATGATTGAAAAAACTTATATCAGTTCCTCTTAATGTTATTTTTTTTCGTGCACACCTAGTATGTTTAGATGTTGATACAATGAACGCGTTAAAAGTTTTACTTATATTTTCTCTATAATTTTGTTTATTTGTGACAGGTTACATGGAGAGCTCTTTATGTAATGCTCTACTGATTTTTGTTACTTATTATATTACTCTAGATTTTTTTTATAGCATGGAGTTTTGGATTTACAGTCAGTGTTCTTTTTTTCTTAACATTATTATTCTTTTCTTAAATTTTTTATTTAAATAAATCATTTGCTAAAATGAGACAGCTTTTAAAAGTATAAGAATAATGGAAGGCTAATTAATATATTATGTTATAAAATAATCTAAATATATTATTTGTTTTACTGTTAAAATCATACTTATAGGTGAAACTAAATTTGTATTTTTTAAAGAATTTTGCAGGTAGTTGCTTAATGAGCTCTACATTTATCTTCAATTCTAAAAGAGTAATATTATTGAACATGTTCAGTAACTTAACGATTCATTTTATGCGGCTCTCAATCTAGTGGGTGGAACTACTAATGCGCTACTGGTAACAAAACTACCGTAGTCACTACTCTTTTTTTAGTTTGTTGTGTATGTAATGTATGTCTTTTTGAAGGAAATAGTGCAGTGAGTAGTATTACACAAAAAAAAATTATGTATAGTTTGTAAAGATTCTTAGCAGCTATTTTTCACATTAATTTAGTAAAGAAAAAAGGTTCAAATGTAAGTCATTTTTGATTGGTGCTGTTACATATTTTATCAAGCATCAGTGGAACCTATTTTCTCAATAACTCTCGATGTACATTACTTTTTAGAGGGAATTAAAGAATTTAAACTAAAGAAATTCCTAAATTAAAAATATGTTGTATTAAGTTACCTATTTGAACATGCTCAATAATGTATTAAGTTTTAATTGAAGAACAATTTTAAAATAAGTACTTTGCACCATTGATTTCTAGCCAGCCTATATTTCACAAATTAAGATTTGAGAGCCATTAATAAATCTAACTAAATGTAAATTTAATTAGAATTTTTCATTATAGCAGACTTGTATAAAATCTGTAATGTAGTTTACATAGTCCAAGTTTTATTATTGTTCCTATTTTTACATGATCTGGGTTAATGTACAGCATTTTGGTAATGCAAATAGGATTGTTTATAGTGTGTATAATTATTAGAAATCCTAAAAAGTCTCTATTCTTTTTGTTTCAGACAAATAGAAACAGTTTTCTTTGATCTTCATAAATTTAAATTCAACTAAGTTAAAAAAAAAAAAAAAGCTAAGAATAAAAACATCCACCATTTTGCAGATAGAAGAAAATTTGTTTACGTGACATAGAAGAATTATGCGCTTCCAATGCCCATAAATCTTACAGGACTTTTATGGAATCAAATTAAGTGCATATAAAAAAATCAAGAAACTTCCATTTAACCAAAAAAAATTTAAAGTTAAGGTAGTTTTATATCTGTAAAATTTTATCAAAAGGGGTATTGCTTGCTGGGTTAAATTATTTTTTTACTTTAAACCAGTTGTGTTCATAAATCTGAATTATTGCACTTAATTTTTTTTATATATATTATAAGAAACTATATGTTTAGATCATATCACCTTAAATATTTAGTGCTGTTAGCAATTTTGTCATTTCTCATTTGAACTTATTGTATTTTCAGGTGAGCTTTCTTTTCCAAATTCTTACTGAATCCTCTTGGTAAAATCTTTAAATACATGCTTATGGTGCTGTTGTCTACATCTTTTATTTTTTTATAGAGCTTAAAGGGTGAGAATATTTACTATTTTTTATCTTTGTGTATTAACTTTGAAATTATGCCAGTCATTTTTTACCCTATTGTACGTATGTATATAATGTCATTAATTCTAATTTGATATTTTAAGTTTTAATTTTCTTACCAATTAATATTCCTTTATTTTCTGTTACTATTCTTTATCTTCCATTGAATAATGTGGGTTGTTGCAATTAGGAATGATACCAAATCAAATAAATAACAAACAAATCTTAGTCAAGCAACTAATTGTTAATTTGTTTACAGATCCTGGGCATTAATTCCTTGTCGATATGATAGTAGTGTCATTATCTATATTTCTGATATGTTTGTGCAATTTATAGCTTGTTTCAGTGATAAAATTATAACATCCGTTTTAGTGGCTTTAAGAAGAACATGCTGCTTTTGCATTTTCGTTGAAATATATTTATACTATATCAGTTTTGTAATTGTAAACTTGATCATTTTTCGAATTACATTGGGGCTATATTACTTGGAAATGATCTAAAAACAGTAAAGCTATTTTATGTTTATAAATTAACACTATTCTAAATGGGCAGGTTAAAAGCTATGATTATTGGTTAAGATTTTTTTTTTTTTAAACTATCTGCTGCACCGCCTTGCAATATAAAAATCAATGCAAGCAAACAAAAAAGACAAAATTAAAATTTTTGTGCATTTGACATTTTTGTATGATTAGCCATTTATTGCAAAAATTAACTTTGTTTTATGAGTTTTTCGAAATTGTAATTTAGCATTTATAGCATTAACAATAAAAAGAAAGTAGTTTTCAAGCCACTTTTCTTGAAAAGTATCGTGAAGCACTTAGGTTGTTTTTTCTGTTGTACTACAGTGTAGTCTTATAACATCTTGGAGTGTTCATTTAACAAGTTTCTAATTTTTTTATTTATTATTAATTTCTCATTAATTTATGCCCATATATTTTTTTAGCAATGTCTACTGCTAACTCAGATATTGAACTTGATGATGAAAGTGATGATGGTGGATATGGATATTATGATTACTACAACAATTCTGAAGACACTGAAATGGAACCAACCGATCCTTTTAAGAACGATCCTGAACATTTTGAATTTAAGTGTCTTTATAAGGAAGATGTAGAAAGACTCTTTAATGAATGTGTCGAAAATCTTTGTGCCAATTTACCAGTAATCTCTTTTTAGCATTTTCAATAACTTTATTTGCAGAATTTTAACTATTCATTTTGCAATTAAGTACCAATATATGTAGTCATGCAATTTTATGGTTAAGAAAACGATTCTCACTCTTCAGTTAGTATTCAGGTTATTCTGGCTTTAAATTAGGAGAAGGATTTTTTTTTTTTTTAACTTAAAACCTTCTTCTTTTTTTTTTAAATACCTGAATGATTATTCTTTAAATTTGGAACAAAGTTCTGGAAAATATTGGTAATTTAAAAAGAAATTATACTTTAAGCTGCATTCTATTTCAACCAAAAGGTTTCATGTTATAGTTATTGGAAGTCAATACTAATTTTATAAATTGCAAAAGTTGATTTAAATCATTTATGAATTGAAATTATTAAAGATCGTAAGTTTAGGAGCATTTTTTCTTTCACATTTATTTTTTAAAGTAGTTATAAAATCTAGTACAAGGTATGTGAAACATATACAAATATAAATCACAGGGCTTTTATTTTTCTTAGTGAATCATATTAAGTGATGAATCAATCAAATCATATCAAATGTGAATCATACTAAAATAAAAATAAGTAATCAAATATCAAAAAATATATATACCTTTTTGGAACTTGCTCTCGTTTACAGTACAGAAGAGAAATTTTTTTTATCCTGGTATAGTAAGTACAATGTAGTTTAAAGCGTGATTTATAGTGGAAGTGTTTTCTCAGCTGGATGCTTGTCCATGGCTTGATAAAATGTGATGTAGTATTATTGATGTGCAGCAGTATACTAAATTATGTATGTTTGACAAGTGTGTGTTTCTTTCCTAGTGGGTGTAAAATAATTTGCATATCTTTTTTTTTTTCCAATTTCGTATGAATTTTATTTATGAGTGTATTTCAGGTCACTTAACTTATAGTGAGACCTCATATTTTCCATTCTTTAACCCTCACCTCTTTATAAGATGTGTTCAAACAATTCAGTATATTTAAGAATTCGCTTTGCGAATAAAGGCCTCAAATTTTAACTTTTACTTAATTATTTTTGCTCTTAGTAATTTAGAAGTTTGCTGCACAAACTTTAAATTAGATGCAGATGCATAATGTTTATTTCTATAACCATATTTAGAAAGAAGGAAAATTTCACTTGAGATTGCAACAAAATTCTTGATTTCTCATAAGCAGGTACTTTATATGTTATTTAACTATCATATGAAGAGATTATGCTTCATCATAATTAGGAAATTTTTGTTTTGCTTTTAGCAATTTTAATTTTAATTTATCTAATTTTAAAATTTTTTTCTTTATGATTGAATGATGTTAAAAGATGTATGATCTTAAATAATTATCTTTTAACTTATAACTTAATAATTGAAAAAAATAATTTTATGAAATTAATAGCTCTAAATTGATTATCTTAAAAATTTTTGATAGCTAATTGTTACTCATTAATAGCCATTGTTATTTTGTTGCATATTGTTTGTAGTTAATAAATTTCAAATAAATGTGCAATTTTTACATAAAAATGCTATTTTTTCAGGTAAAACCATCATTAGCAAAATTACTTTTACACACTCATAATTGGACCACTGGAGATTTAATTACAAGTTATCGAAGTGATGCCTCAAAACTTTTAGTTGATTCTAGAATTAAACCATCCAAACCCCCAGAAACTGAATTTCAGGTATTGTTAAAAATAAATGTTGTACATTTTTTTCTTTGTTCAGTGCTTTTGTATGATTAAATTTTCAAATGTATTATTTTTATAAAAATATTACAAGTGTATACTGCTTAATGTATATTGTAATATTTTTAAAAATATTCATCCTTATTATCAGATTTACATTACTTTTTTTAGATCAATTTTTAAAAGTAATTTTTATATTTTTTTCTATTGATGCGAATATATTTCAAGTTTTATAGTCAGAGGTGATTGTGCTCCGGAAAATATCTTGATTTCCAGATTTTTCCCTAGCTGCTCTCCGGAAAGCTTAGGTCCAGAAGTTCTAAGAAATCATTGATCACATTTATGTTTAAAAATTCTTGAATATTTTATTTAAAAATATTAGAACTAGGCCATGGCACAGAATAGATCAAGATGGCAAAAACTTATTGGGACGTCCTTGGCCTGTCATAGGCTGTAGTGCCCACGAAGAAGAACTAGAATTTATACTTGGCATCTTTCATTTGTAAATATTTTTTCTGGTGGAATACTAAATGTGATGATAGATAAAAAATAAACTTATGCATAATTATGCTGTATATAATTTATTTAGAATTCAATGTTTTGAAAATATCAATGATTTAAATTTATAAAGACATTATGCGTCTTTAATGATTTTACTCAAGAAATTTTCCTAATTTTTGAGTTGGACTCACAATCACCCCTGTATAGTGCTGTTGAAAACAAAATTTAGAAAACTTTTCTCAGTTGTTTTTAAATTTTTCAGATACTTTAAATAGTTCAAATGCCTTTAGAGCTCTTACACATGATTAACATTTTTATTAGAGAGCATAATTAATGGCCTAATAAATATATTTGGCTGCTATTTGCTTAAATTTATTGATTTAAAATGATTTGCAGTTAAAAAATTTAGTTTTATAAACTAAGTTTGTTCAAAAACAAGGAGGAAATATCTGTAGGGTAACACAAAATTTTTAAAACTTTTGTTTACCTAATAAAAGCAAACCTTCTAAAAACATCAGGATGAAATTTTAATCTAAATTTTCTTTAAATTTAGAAAAAAATCTGGGTGTTCAAAATTTTGTGCAGTAAAAAGGCTTAAGTGTCTGTGAAAAGTTACTATTTATGGTATAAATTATTACAAAGTTTTACTTGAAAGTATTTTAAAATAAGCATGTAAGATAATTCAGACAGTGGCATAATATCCATATATAAAAAATCTATACTTTTTTTTGTTACTAGGTTTTCCAAATTATGCATTTTTAACATTAGATAATTCAATATTTATTTTATTTAATTATTTTTGAAAAATTCAATGTATTTTTTTAAAAGATTTAAGCCTTTTATAACTAAAATTTCAACCAGTCTTGAATTATTGTCCAGACTAAACTAAAATTCCAAAGAATTGTATCTACTAGACTTCAACTAAAATTTAAACAAGTCAACCATGAAGTCTTATTTTTTCTCTCTTTCTCAGCACTTCTATTCAGACACTATATTGTGCAATTGTTTAAGTCTCGGGGGAGAAAAATTTAGTATTACTAAGAAGGAGAAAAAAATGCTCAAAATTTCCTTATTCTAATGCGCAGAACAATCTGACAGATTGATATAATTTTTTTTTCTCTGCTCCACACAGTCATACTTTTCCTGTGATTATGTCATTACATTTGAATTTCAGGCATGCTGATATCTGGGATGAGTTTTTCCACTTTTCTTAATTTAATAAATAAATAACTATGCCTTTTTATAGAAAGTTTTTTTTTTTACTAGTTTATGAGAAATATTTGTTTTTACGCCATTTCATACTTATGCAAACACAATTTAAAATTTCATTCACTTGGTTTAAAATAACACTTCGCAATTTGTATTTATGTAATTTTAAAATCAGACATTGAGATTCGTATTGCTGCGATTTAAATATCATGCAATGTGGTTCATATTCATACAGTTTAAATAAATAAATAAAATCTTGCATTGATATTTTTATTTAAATGTTGATAATATTCTGTGGCTAATTGCTTCCTACGTACACTTTTTTCTTGCTTTTTTAGGTACTTTTTTTATTTTTTACCAAACTTATCTATTGTCATATAAATCAATATTGCTTTGTAGAAATAAAAAACATTTTTTAAGAAATTCAGACAAATTTTGCAAAAATGAAGTGGCCACGAAAGGGTTGAAACTAGTAACAAAAATTATTCAATTGCTTGTATAAAAAAAAATTTGAATGAAATTTTGTGTTTGCGAAAATTTTCCATTTTATCTAAGTCTGCTTACAAGAAGTTTATTTAATTTATTTTTTGTTATGATTATTGAATTATTAAAAATAATATTTTCATCATTAATTTTGTAGCTTAGGAAATTTTTTGAACTAAGATTAGGACTACTTTAAATACTGTATTATCATGATATTATATACACCATGACTTTAAATTAGTATATGTCAGCCTTAAATAAATTCAATTTTAAACAATGTCATTACCTTGGTACTCTGAAGATATTGTCAAGACAAATTTTTGATTAAATCATTCAAATATTTTATTGTATTGTGTTATAAGAGATATTATAAATATTTTGAGGGGTTTTTTTTAATGGAAGGCATAATTATGAGAAAAATTATAATTATTATAAAAACTACCCTCTTAAACTCCAAAAATAAGTTATTTGTAGTTCTAATTAGATCATAAATTCTCCGCTGATAATTTTTTTCATCATTGCAGGTATACGGTAATAGTATTTACATAAAAAAAGCAAGAAATCGAATAATATAATTTACTTTAAAAGAGGTCAATTTTGCTATTCTCTGAATATCTGAGAAGGGCCCTCTGATAAGTATATTTCTTAAAGCAATTAAATGATAACATTTATGTTTCTTTTTAAGGAGATATTTAAAAAAATTTCATTATCTTGCTATTGTCATATTCTCTGTGTTAAATAATTTTATTTATTGTTATAATTTTTTCCTCATTCATTGTTTTGTTTGAGATTTTGTTATTTATGCTTTTTATAATATTTTCTTAGGTTGTACGTAGCTCAAAATCTCTTTCATGTTCTATATGTCTTTTAAATTACTCGGGAGAATTTTTTCGTGCATTAGCTTGTGGTCACTACTTTTGCAAAGACTGTTGGTTCACTCATTTTGAAATACAGATTACTCAAGGCATAACTACTGGTAAGTTAAAAACTTAAAGAATTTTACTTATTATTAGGTTCTGACAAAAGATGTAAAAATTTAATAGGCTAGAAATAACTGTCAGGAGCCAACTTCTAGAATTATTCTTACACTTTCACATTTGAGGCAAAATAAACTAGCTTCTCATATTTGGTGATTACCTTTATCAATAATTAAACTACCTGTTTGACTAGATTACTTTTATTTTCAACCCTATAAATTACACTGTAAATGAAATAGCAATTGATTGTGATAGTTTTGAGAAATGAAGAATTAAATTGTTTTAACACAAATCAGTATGATTGTAAGAAATTAATGTTTTTGCATTTAATTTTCTGTTAAAATTTTTACAATACTTTAAAGAGACGGTAACCAATAAGCAATTCCACTATTTATGAATATCATGTTTGTAAATTCGAAATGCATATAATTCAGTTTAGAGAAGTCAAGCAAATATACTCTGCAAATTTTCAAAGTAACAACTCTTAGGGCCATTTACTCTTACTCCAATTTTAAGAGGCTTTTAGATATTTAAAACTTTTCGAAAAATTAAAAACTATTTGTTGTGGATGTAACATATTTTGTAAAGTCTGTAATTACTTGTTTTTAAGTTTTAAAAAAAATTCCAAACCTGAGAAAGTTGCTGAAAATCAGATGACACAAAGAGTTACTTTATCAAAAATTATTAAAACTGTTTTTAATTTTTTTTAACTGAATTAAATACATTTAAAGTTTGCTAACATAACATTCGTAAAAATGACATTGGCCTCTTTCAGTGTAAGTTTACTGCTTCCATTCTACCTTTCTTTCTTTTACTAAATAGGATGATATTGATGCACATACAACTAAAATGAAGATACAAATTAGTATTATGTAGAATCGCCATTGACAATTAAACTGATGCAGTAGTTCACTCAAGGAAGCCGATGTGAACTTGTTTACCTAAAAATTCAGTTCCTAATATTAAAAGTGTACTATCTTGTTAATTTAAAAGATTCCGTTTTTAAATGTTAACTTTTTAAAATATGTAAAAACAATTAATAATTTAGATAATTAAAGCTTTTGGATTTCATGTTAAAATTGCCCTCAATCCCTAATTTATTTATTTATTATTAAAAAAATTATGATACCACACATTTGCTTATTCATAACTAAAAAGTTGGTACTTTGCAATGTAAATATGACTTTTATTCTGGTCTTGAACTTGACTATCCCTCATTTGTGGATATTTACTCAAATCATCTCATTGATTTGTTCACTATTTTAAGTCTAAGCTATTGGACGTGGTTTTTTATTTCAAATTGTTTTTATCACTTTATTTGATTTTAATTTAGAAATATTTTAACAAACTTTCATCATTGTTAAAAATAAAATTTTAATGTGTGTAATCTTTTTTTAAATGTGTACTGATAGACTTTTATTATTTCTTTTCTTTAGCAATGGAATGTATGGGTCAGGGATGTACTCTTCTTGTTCCAGAAGACTTTGTACTTAGCATATTAAATAAGTCTTCCCTAAGAGAAAAATATCAACAATTTTCCTTTTCAGATTATGTAAAAGTAAGTTAGAATTATTACTTTTTTTTAATAAAGATTTTCTGAAATCATATTGATAATTAGAAAAAAAATTTAATACCTTGTGGTGGTTGGTTGTGTCCAGGAGATAAATAGACGAAGTTTACATTTTAATTAGTATTTATTTTAATATTTAATTATAACGAACACAAGGGAAAACATGAAAGTTAGAGCAGTGCGTCTACAATGGCGGTTAGGCTTTTTCTTCGCGCGGAATGACAGAGACAGTTACTGATCGTAATTGTCGCGNAATTAATATACAGTATGCATTCCGACAGAAATTAAGAAACAAAAATTGAAAAGCCACAGTACCGTTTTTGTGAAACTTCCGATATCTAAAGCGAAAATAGTTATTCCATTTGAAACATAATCTCCTTAATATATGAACGTCCGGCTGTCACCACTGTGGTGGTTGGTTGTGTCCAGGAGATGAATAGACGAAGTTTACATTTTAATTAGTATTTATTTTAATATTTAATTATAACGAACACAAGGGAAAACATGAAAGTTACAGCAGTGCGTCTACAATGGCGGTTAGGCTTTTTCTTCGCGCGGAATGACAGAGACAGTTACTGATCGTAACTGTCGCGGTTACGATTAAGTTAAGTTCAGTCGCCGCAACCTGAACTGGAAATATCTTAATTAAGTACAATTATAAAAATATTTTTTAGTATCTCATGTTATTTCCAGATCCTAAAAGTTTCTTAAAACTTTGCATTACATCTGAAATGTTAAGATTTTTTTTTTCAAACGTTTTATTCATTAAAACTTCAAATTAAGAAATTCATTCACCTAATTAAGGTGAGCTGATCCTTTCTGAAATACATAGTTATTTTTCTTCTGTACACTGTTCTGGTGGGAAAAAATTATTAATATTATTATAAATAAGCATTTTCAGGTAAGATTTATTAAAGAATTTTTCTAGTTGACTGCATGATGTTAATGTTAACATACAAAATATTGCTGAAAAAGTTAAAAGACTTTACTGGGTTAATGTCTTATCAAATAGATACAATTATCAGTTATTAAAAGCTTTTACTATGAATATTAGAATCAAATCATTTGACATATTACAACTTAGTGTAAAATTTCTATGCTGATACAGTAACTGGTGAATTGATTGTAGAATGAGTCTGATGTTATTTATTATTGAAATCTTATGATTCGAAATCAAAGTTATTTGTTTTTTATAAAATAGAATCTGTAAGTAGAATTGTATTTTTTTTTATCTTGTTGTGAAACTCAAAACTCTTTGCTCGCTTTTAAAATTAATAAAAATTATTTTTCTAATGTAACTCCGATGTGTAACTTTATGTTACTATAATGTAAAAATGCCTTTCATTACTTTTACCTGCTTTTTAAGAGTTTGATTTAAAAAGAAAGTTATGTATTGCTTTTAGTGTTATTTTATTTTTTAGTGTAATATAGTATTCAATTTTAAAGATACCTTTTAATAAATGTCTAATCTAATAGGTATAAAAACTTTTATTTTGGAATGTATCTGTAACAATCCAATAATCCTTCATTCTTCCAACCAGTTATCATTTATGCACACAAATATTACACTTTTTCTACACTAGTAGTGCAATGAAGAATTTCTTGTAATGCCTTACATAAAATTTATTATATTATAACTTAATTAAGTCAGCAGTATATAGGGTGTAATACTTATGAGGGTTTAGACAAGAGAATTATATTTAGTTGAGAAAAAAAAATCTAAAAGGAAAGGGGGGAAATTAATGAAGAAAAAAATATCCTTTGACAGTTATATTTTTAAAAAAAACTAAGAATTAACTTTAACAGAAGAATTTGGATTAAAGATATTTAGATAATTAGTTTTATACAGTATATTCTGATTCTGTGTATATTTTTAGCTTTTTTTTTTCTTTGTATAATATATGCATTAATTCTTTCTAGAGCCATCCTTCACTACGGTTTTGCCCTGGTACAAATTGCAATGTTATTGTTTTTGCTAAAGATTACCAATCAAAGCGTGTCACATGTAAACAATGTAAAACAACATTTTGGTAAGTCTATTTAATGCTCCAGTTAACTAAGTATTTTCAGTCATTTAGCAAATCTTCTTTGTTTGGATAAGTTGAATTTTGGTTACTGATCCACCATTGTTTGTTTGTTTAGTTTTAAATGTGGCTCAGAGTATCATGCACCTACAGATTGTGAAACTATCAAGAAATGGTTAACAAAGTGTGCTGATGATTCTGAAACAGCAAATTACATTTCTGCTCACACAAAAGATGTATGTATTGATCTCATAATATTTTATTTTAAATAATACCTGTAATCAAGTTTTATGTATTCAAGTTTAGTTAATGGGAAATCTTATTTTCACTAAATTGTTTATTATAATTTTGTAATGTATTAAAAAATTTAGTTTAAGCTAATTTTAAACAGATGTTTATTTATTTTAATTCAATAATGGAAGATGAGTCAAATGTAATACTGTTAAATATTCTATGAAGACCACCTCTAAACAATGGCAACCTCCAAAGAGTAACCATGTATTTGTAAAACTGAATGTCTTCTATGGGATTTACAATAGAAGAAACCCCTGTACAGCGAATTTGGAGCAACAACCACCAATTACTAGCATAACTTTTATTTCAGGCTGTGTTTTAGTCAACTTTTTTGCATCTCTAGCTTGCTATACTTCTAACATTCACAATAGGAGGCGATTCATGGTGCATTATTGATCAGCTTTTATTTTATGCTATTGGGAGAAATTACATGCACTTGCACAAAGACTAATATTTCTTATCTGATTTAATTTTTTTTTAATACTTTGGACACCAATCTTGATTTCTTGAGGGAGAACTTCAGTAAGGAAATATAAGTGATAATTGCAAGCAAAAATTCTTATTCCTAAAAGCTATTGAGAATAGTAAAAATGTAATTAGTGCATGTAATTAACTACATTGTATGCAAATTGATGATATTAATAAAATCGTCACCATCCTTGAATCGCTATTTTATTGTATAAATCCAGTTGAATGTTTAATTTTTGTACTATAAATTCGATGAAAACTCCCAATAATGGCTCACGTAGACACAGTCCAGTCCCGTTTTTAAAAAAAAAAATCATTGTCCAGAGGTTTCATTGTAATTCTATTATTATTATTTTTTAAAAAATTTGAAAATTGCGTCGAATTTTTCTCATTGAAAAACAAATTTCATTTTTGCGACATTTTGTTTTTGATCGAAATACTTGGGTAGCTAGGTATCAAACAAATATCCTTGTGATAAAATAGTCACCACGTTTTTTAAATTATAAAAAAAGAGTAGTTGCAACTATATTTAATTATTTTAAACCTGTCAGTAACGACCTTTAGAAAACTATCTTTTCAGAAATTATTATTAGAAAGATTAATAATTATACAAATGTGAAAATTAATTTGTGTGGAATGGAATTCTAAAAAAAATATTCCCAACATCAAATAATAATAAGGTAATGCCTTTTTTAAAAAATAAAAAGCTTCGTATGATTCTCAACTTACTGTTGTGTACCTTATATTTATTACATTTTGCTTAAGTTTAAAAAATTCAATAATTGAAGCTAATTTGTTTCTAATGTAAAAAAGTATGTTTCATGAAACTCTTAGTTATTCATAAATTATGTTGCCCTCTTTTCATGAAAGTTCACACAAAAAAAGAAAAATATTAATACCTTCTCGCCATAAAATTTACAATACTGGCTTCAGTGAACCCCTACAGATAATTAGCTCTCTTTAAGTATATAAGAATTCCATGACCCTGCAGCATCTCAATATTATTTTCTTTTTTTTTATTTTGTTTTCTTGCCCAATTTAGTTTGTAACACAGTTAATTTCTAGTAATTTGAATTTCGAACAATGTAGGGCAACAATGTTGTTTACACTTAGTACAGTTAAGTCAATTCTGTTTTTCTAGATTCAAAATAATCAACCAGTCACTTCTTCCCTCAGTCTTGAAATTAAAAAGAAAAACCCTAACTTATACTTTACATTCAACTTTTCTCTTGTTGTTCAAAATATTTATTTAATTTTAAAATAGTGAAAATAAATAGAATATAATTCAATCTTTTCTTGTATTCCAACCTTATATTTTTCGTAAATAAAATATGCCTATTTTGAATTAGAAATTATGTACCAATTTTAAATATTTATTATTAATGTATTTTAAAATTCTATAATACATATGTTTAAATGCTATGCATACTAATTCACTTTTATGCCTTATTAATAAAATTATGAACATTTATATATAACTTTTTTTTTCTACAGTGCCCAAAATGTAGTATATGTATAGAGAAGAATGGAGGATGCAATCATATGGTAAGATTTTCAAATTAAAATTAATTTTATTAATTTATCAAAATTTCTATAAATTTCATTTAAAAGATTTTTATCACTTAGCTCTTTCATTATCTCTTACTCAGAAAATGAGGTTTTTCGTGATTTCATTGGTATTTTTACTTTTTCATATAATGAAAATCATGCATAAGCTTTCAATATAAACACTAGTTATACTTATCTCTTGCTTTGTTCCTTTGTTCAAATCTTTAGATATTTTCAGCTTTTGAAGTGTTTATTTCCATCCACTTTGTGTATTTAAAAGTTAAATAAATGAAGCAGTATGTATTTGACAGATATTAATCAACGATGTTTTGATTATGATGCTTAGAAAAATGGAAATGCTTAAGATTCCTTAAATTCATCTTATTATTATTATTTTATTTATTTATTTTTTTGTAAAATTTCTCTTTGAAGTGTAAATATAACTTGGCAAATAATATTATTGTGTATGTTTATTGTATATAATTCTAATTTTTCATCTCCTATAAGTTTAAATTATTTATATCTTAACCATATCAAGATCAGGAATGCGCTGAATTTTTGGTATTTATTTAATATACAGCCAAGCAAATAATTACCCCTTTTTTCATTCATTTATAAGATAGTTAATTTATAAATAAATATTGAATTCATGAAATAAATGTAACTATTTGCTATCATTATATTTTGCATTAAAAATTAAAGTAATAATATTTTAAACAAATATATTTTATTTATTAGAAATAGATTTTAGAAACAATTATTGAACAAGTAGGAAGAATGCGTAAGCAATTTGTTTTCAATTAAATGTCATGTATATATATATATAACGACACAAAAAAGACAAAAAGGATTTTTAAAAAAAAAGAGACTAATGAGGAAAACCAAGAAAAATATATATTTGTATATATTTCTAAAATAAATTAAAAGTTGAATTTTTTCTCTTAAATTATCCAACACATTAAATGATGACACAACAAATTATGAACTATTTATTTATATTTGTATTCTTTTAATGTTTGCTAATTTTTAATATTTGCTCAGTATTTTTTTTCCTTCAATTTGATTGAATTAGTTATGCTAAACTCTTTTGTAAAATGGTCATCCTCCATTATTTCATTATTAAATAAGGTGTGGAAATATAGTTAAATAAATAATAGAAATTTTTGTTGCTTATGTTTGCAATAAATTGTTAAATCAATCTGAGCAATTAGTTTTACCAATTTGTAAAAATTTTTTCTTCTTTCATTTAGAAATAAAATTGGTCATAAAAGTACATAGAAAATAATATCTATTTATTTATTTTTTTCATAGCAATGTTATAGTTGTAAAGCTGACTTCTGCTGGATGTGTTTAGGAGGTATGTAATATTTGAAATGATGCATCGAATTTTACTTCAAATCTCATTTATAAAAATAGTCTATTTCACACATACAACATTAATTCATACATAGCTATAGCAAGAAAAAATTAATTATCTGCTGAGTGTGTTTAGGAGGTATATAGACAGTATTTAAAATAATTTATTAAATTTTACTTAAATTCTCATTTATAACTATAATCTATGTCTTTACCACATTAGTTTTTACATATATATTTATGTGATGATGAATCACTAAGTATACACATTATAGCCTTTTACTTATCTTCTTATTTATTTGTCTTAAATTAACATTTTTATTTTTTAATTGTATTTGTCATTTTTAGTATTAGTCAGGACAAAACAAATATTTTCTTTTTCAATTAAGTATTTTTGTTAGGAATCATTACAATTATGAATAAACAATTTATAATTATTATTGGGTATAATGATTTTGCATGAAACATAATCATTATAAATAGTGATCATGGCTTATACAAAAATAGGTAAAGTGATTTATTTTTGCATAAAAAATTCATTTGATCTTAATTGTTACAAGTAAAAAGGAAATTAAGTGACTTAAAGTCAGCAGAGGTAATAATTTTCATATTCCATGTACCAAAATAAAGAAATATTTGTACTACAAAGAGTTTAATATATGGAGACAATAAACAATAAAACTAATAAATTTATTTGCATAATCAAATAAAATTTATTTAGATGTGTTTTTAATGTAGAAAATAGAACATTTTCAATAAACTACATCATTCTTTATTATTTTTTCCTTTTTTCTACTTAGGTTAAATGTTAATGTTTTTTTAGAGTTATTTTTGGTATATGATTAGAGAATCTTCGAAATTAACATCTGAAAGTATCATATACAGATCCATTTTGTTTTTTATTAATGTTATATTTTATTGCAACTTAAATGTTGTAAGGGAAGATAATTTGTTTAGAAAAAAAAATTTTGGTTTTAACTGTCACTAAAATAGCACAATAAAAAATAATTAAAATGGCATAAGCGAAAAACTTTTTCTATTAAGTATTCAGGGATAAATACAAACAATTATGTCAATTTTTATTGTAAGGCTACTGACTAGGCATTTCATCAAGTGCATTTTCAGCATACAATGCAAGGTAGGTGTGACAGCAACTAGAGATTTTTTTTTCTATAATTTGTCTACAGACACTTCATATTCATTTATGTAGACCAGTGTTCTCATTGAAAAAGTCAAAATGTATCCTTCAATATTTTTTATATATACATTTTGAAGTTGTTGCTGTTGATTAACACATGTATCAAGTTCAAATTTTTATTTTTTGTGTGCTTTAAATTTGCAGATTGGAATGCTCATGGTAGTGAATATTATGAATGCAGTAGGTATAAAGAAAATCCAAACATAGCTAACGAATCTGCTCATGCTCAAGCTAGAGAAGCTCTAAAGAAATATCTTTTCTATTTTGAAAGAGTGAGTTATTTGATTTCAAAAATTTCAGAATTATATTATTATTTAAAAAATTAAACTTAGTTGGTTAATCTATGTTTTATAAAAATAAAAAAAACATTTACCAAAAACTATTTAATTCCTGACAATATTGTCTTTATAGTGGTGTAATGAAATACATCAAGTCTCTTCTATAAAGAATTCTGATGTCTCTGTTTTAAAGAAGTGGCCAAATTTATAAAAATTTTGGTCTGGTCATATTTATGCTGCATTTAGTTTTTCTTAAATTAAATTTTGAGTTAAACAATGAGTGAAATATTAACTTAATAATGTTTTTGTTTTTTTTTTTATATCAAATATATTAAAAGAATAAAAAGATTTTATTTTTGATGACAAATAATAAGGTATATATCGAACTTTTAAAGACCTGTTTCTCTGATAATTAATGTACGCAAACAAATAGTAAAAAAAATTGAGAGAGAAAAAAAGCATTTCTTTTTAGTTTAAATTCTGATTTATTACATTTTGACAAATAAAAATTATTTTTGCTTAATCAGTTTTTAGCCGTTTGAGTAAATAATCCTCTTAAATGCAAAGTGTATATTCAGTTTTCAATTTACAAATTTTTATATGGATTACAACACAAAGCTTTACTTTATTATAAATTTAAAAATGTGCACTGATTATTTTCAGAATAATATGAATTATTTATTAAACAATTTAAATAAAATTTTCAACAAATCGTTCTAAATTGTTTAACTGTATCAATGTATAACTGTATCATTAACAGTTTCAATGTATGTTGCATTTCACTCATTAGAAAATCAAATGTTCATACATATTATCTTTGTATTAACTGTGTTTCAAACTACTGCAATAAAATAGCATATTCTGAATATGTAAAAAATACCAAAATAATAAAAATTTAGATATTTCATATTAGCATGATTTCCTGAATAAAAGCCGCCATTTATTAAAAATACTGATAAAAGCGAAATTTTATTTAAGACTCCTCTTTAAAAATAGTAAAGATCATTGGGAAAAAAAATGAATAAAAATTTTAAAAACTACTGAAAAAGTAAGTTGAAAAGATTTATTTCAGTCAGTATTTTATCAAGTTCTTCCTTTTTATTATTAAATGGCGTTTTAAGCTATCTAAAATCTTCAACTAAAAAATATTCTGCTAAAACTTATTCAGATTTCAAAAGGCAGTTTATAAGTAGTGTAAAATTTAGTTGCTGCTACGCTAAATTTTATACTACTACTTTTCTGTAAAAAGTTAAAAAATGCATCAAAATTTTAAAGAATAATAAAATAAGATATTTTTAAGACTGTAAATAAATTTATTTATTTGTTTTTCTCTTTATTTTCAAATAAATATGATATCACAGGGTTCCCGCGGCCTTGAAAAAACCTTGAAAAGTACTTGAATTTCATTTTGATTTTCAAGGGCCCCTAGAAGTACTTGAAAATGATATTAAATCCTTGAAAAATTCAAAATGACCTTGAAAAGTATCGAAAACTCAGGAAAACAGCCCTATTTCGAGCATTTCTGTGTTTAACTTTTTGACGCACGTAAGTGTGAGAGAATGACTTTCCCGCCTTTCAGATGATGACGTACTGTTTGATTTTAGGATTTTATGTATGTTTGGCTGATTTTAGGAATTTTAAATATTGGGAACTGCGCCAGATTCTGACAAAATCTCAATTCTTATTCAGGCAATTTTAATATTGATCTTCGTATTAAACTGATTTAAAAGCTATGTGTTGCGATTTGTTTTCGCGTGATTCAAAAATTGTACTTGCAATTCCCATTAAAGCAATTTAAAAATCTAATATCTCAATTTGTACTTAAGCGTTTTTAAACCCCAATATCGCGATTAGTTTTTCCGCAAGTTTAAAATCCAATGTCGCTATTCGTATTCACGCATTTTGCAATATCAAACATCGATGTTGTAATATCAAACTTCGATTTTCGTATTTATACTCTATTTGAAAACTACTCGTTACAATTCGTGTTCATGTGACCATGTCAAGTGCGTATGATCGATGCTACTGAAAAAAAATTAATTCAAGTATCAGTGGTTAATTAAAACAGTCAAAGTGACCAAAATTGTTAGTAAGAATCTATCAGAAGATATTGAGGTGAAAGTTGGCAACTGATTCAATTTAAAATGGTTGACCCGTAATAAATTTAAAATGATAATTAAGCCGCAACATCCAATAATTGATTAATTTTCTTTAATGGAAAAGTGGTCAAAATTTCAAAATTATATTTAAGAACAATTTAAATTTCACTGTCTAAATGCTTCTGCCACTTTAAATATTAAATAAAAATCTCCCGGCAGAGTTGTTTTTAAATATCTAATTGATATCACAGTATTATATAGAACATCCCCCCCGTCCTGCCCGAATTTTTGCTTATTCAGAGGTTGTATACCTAGCTTAAAATAGGCCTTGTGCAAAATTCAAATCTGACGTTTTTATGAATCATGAATTTTATTCTTGACTTGATACCAATCACCCTTGCTTTTTTTATACTTAGATCACTTTCCGAAATCAAGAGAGCAATGGAAGTCTTATTTTTCAGTACTGCTATTATCGTCTAACACTTATCGTCAACTAACTATTATCGTCAAAACATTTCAGTTTAAAATGTAAAGTTTTAGTCTATCTTTTAATAAAATTTAAGTCCTTGAGAATTTTATAATAAGTCTTTAAAAGTACTTGAATTTTATTTCTAAAGTAGAGCATGAACCCTGTATCATTATAAATATAATATTTTTATAGATTTTTAGTTCATGTATTAACTTTCAATTAATGATATAATAATGAATATAAATTATTAAGTTTCTTATTGTAATGTAAAATTTTAATAATGAACCAAATATGAAGTTTCTACTTTATAGTTAAGCTTGTTTCTAATGGCAAGAAATAAGAATCTTGTTTTTTGTAATATACTAGATATTGTTTTAATTTGTAACCAAACTAAATTATTTGTATTATCAAGAATTTTTTAATATTTTATTGCGATTGCATAATATAATTAAATTTTTTGCTGCTTTTTTTTACAGTGGGAAAATCATGCTAGAAGTCTACGACTTGAAGAACATACTTTACAAAAAATTAAAGATAGAATAAATGACAAAGTAATGGCCAATGAAGGAACATGGATTGACTGGCAATATTTAAGAAATGCTGCTTCATTGTTAGCTAAAGTAAATTATTTCATTAACTACAGCTTTCACTTTGTATTTTGTGAATTCCTGAAAAAATTTTATTAAATGCTGGAGATTTTATGTTAAACTTATGTGTATGAAAAATATCTTGTTTTTAATTTCTTAAAACTTTCTTTTTTTATATGTTTATGTCATAGGCTAATTTTAAAAATCCGGCTTTTGTCAAATGTCGCCATCATTTGTTGGGCTTATAGCAGTGTGCATTGTAGGTGTATTGCAAAGTACTGGCAGTTTGCAAGGAGCAAGATTTTCCAATTAGCCTATAACATATATATGAATTCTTTTAAGTGCTTTCTAACATAATGTCTGGACTTAATTAGTTAATGATTTTTTATTCATTGAAATTTTTTTTATTTTTTAGTGTCGCTATACACTGCAGTATACTTACCCATATGCATATTACATGGAAGTTGGTCCCAGAAAAGAATTGGTATGATATTTCTCCCTTTAGATCTTTATTCTTAAGTTTATCTTGACTCCATGCTTTTTTTTTACTCATTGATTTAGTAAAAATATGGTTAATTATGGTATAAATTTCTTTTTTGTATTCTGTAGTTTGAATATCAACAAGCCCAATTAGAAGCAGAAATTGAAAACTTGTCTTGGAAAGTAGAAAGGGCTGAAACAACGGACAGAGGTGTAAGTAACTTTGAATAAGAGATTTTAAAATTAATCAAAATGTTAATCTTGACTAAGAATAATAAACTTTATTATTAAGGAAGAATTACCAAAGCCAAATCTTTACTAATATGTACTTACAAAAATCTACAAATTAAGAGAAATTATAGATTGTTTATATATTGTGTGTTGTTGAGAAATAAGAGATTGCATTAAGATAAAACTATAATTGTCTAAAAAAGTCATTTTTCTCAGAAATTTTTCAGATTACATAGTAAATAAAAATATAAATGATTCTTTTAACAATTATTCTTCATGTTTTAAATTAAATTTAAATTGTTATAAAATAAATTTGTGAAACAAAATGCTATATGGATTGCTATTGGATTTTATTTTTGAGATATTTGAAAATAGGAGGTATCCAATCTGAAAAATTTTTCCAAACTGCTTTATTTAGCATCTTTAATAGCATTAAAGTTATTTTTAAGCTGCATGTAGGATTTTTCTTAATTATTATAATTTTATTCTATTAACAAAATAGCAGTATACACAATTTCATGAAGGGGATTGAAAAAAGTTTAAATTAGTTTTATTTAAAGAATTCATTTTGAGTTGTACTTATTTAAAAAAGCAAAAATAATATTATTGAACAATTATGATTAATTTCTTCTGCAAGGCCATAATTTGCAATGAATATTGAAATCTAAATCCAGGGCAGTTGATTATTTTAAAGGTAATAATAACATAAGAAGATACTGTGGTATCCTTTGTAGCACTACATATGGTATTTATGTTTTGCTATGTATAACTATGGTTAGAACATACTGCGACGCTTTTTGTTATAGAAAGATATGTAGATTATATTTCAAGTTTCTTATTTTTTTAATTGTTGTCCGAGGAAGTCTAAATAATTAAATTTTATTGGAAATTCTTTCTTTAGGATTTAGAAAACCAAATGGATGTTGCTGAAAAACGACGAACGACTCTACTAAAAGATTTCTTGGCTGTTTGACAATTCGTTTTCTGCAATTGAGGACTAAAGTAATTTGTAATATTTCACTCCATGACCACTCAGGCTAAAGGAATGAATTTTTCTCCTGTAAATAACAAGATTGAAATTAGCAATTCAAATAAATTGAATATTCTTTTTAAGTTTGTTTCTTATTGCTTCATCGTATACATGATTTGTATTTCATACATATAGAGTGTAAAAATATAACTGAACTTGGACACATATAATACACTATGATGTCAATGCATTAAAATTTCACCACCAAACTTTTAAATTAATATGACTTCTTTTAAGATATTTACAAACTTATATTTTATGTTTCACAAAAAACTTTTTCTATAGATTGCTACATGTCTAATGATAATTTATCTCATTCCTTGCTCAATGAATTCTTAGAAATGCTAATGTAATATATGTAACCCAAACTATTGTCTTCAAGAGGAAACAGAAGAACCCTAATGGATTAAAGTCTGGTGAATAAGGTGACCATTATTTTGCTATAAAGAAATCAGAAAAATGTTGAGTACTTTCAGTTCGGCATCCTGGAGCAGAATTCTGTTAGAAGCATAGCCATCTTAGTTTGTGATATGTTAGTTAGTTTACCTGTTGATTAACTTGAACAAATTGCATTTTCTCATTAGCACATATCCCATCCCAAGCCAGCCATTATTACTAAGGATTGTTAATACCTTTCAATGATATAAGGATGTCTATGGACATCTTTGCAGACCATATTCTATCATTATTACTATTGTGAACTTATCCCTGATAATATTGGCAATAATTTTAAATTAATAATAAATTGAAAACTTGGGCAATATTTTTTTTTTTGTAAGCTTACTTTAATTTTACGTAATAATATTTTTTTTTATTTGTGTTGATGTTCTTAATTATATTTAAGAAGCATCAAGCAGCAGAATTTTTTAAGATCTTACGTTCTTTGAGACTCTTAATTCGGTCCTGCAATTCCCAGAATGGAACTTCTTGCAGCTATAATTGGAACCCGATTGACGAATTCCATCATTGAAGCTTTACATTGGGGAGAATATCAGGAGACATTATTCGAGTGATACAGAGAGCCGATATCTGGTCGTTATTTGTACGCAAGCGAGTAAAGGAGATCAGAAAACTAAGATGATCCCACATCGTGGAGACATGTGTCTAGGGAAAAGAATCCGTCAGATTCGTTATTACGAGGTTTTGATGCAAAACTACTATCCTTAAGGTGGGGAGAAGGTTCTCAATGGATGAAATATCCACCTGAGTTTAAGCATCTTACAAACGCACGCGACAAAGTCGAAATCCTCCAGCACATTTACAAATAGTGAAATCCCCAAAGATAATGTAATTGGTACTGCAAAAAGTTTTCCAGGTATAGAAGCATTGCTAGACTTATAGCTTGGATTCTCTGCTTTAAACACAATTGTGTGAGACCAAGAAAAAAAATCAATGGATAATTGGTTGTCTCAGAAATCCAAGCTTCATCACAAGAAAAATTAATTCGCATGATACAAAACGAAGTGTTTTTCATCTGAGAATGATAATCGGCTGAAAACTCTGCAAAAGGACATCCCGCGATTAAGAACCAAAATCATTAATAGGAAAGAGGATGAATTTTTTTATAAAGCCTGCTATACTTCCTTCAAATCATAAAATAAAGTCTTGACGAATTGCATTACCTGTAAGAGATTAACTTGAATCAAGAATCTAGATACGTTTGCCCCTTCACTTCCAGAAAACCAAGTAAAAGATGCAGCTGTTTTTCAGATTACAGGAATTGATATGGCTGCCCCACATTTTTTCAGAGCAAATAAGAAGAGCTGGGTGATAATATTTACTTGCGCAGTATTTCGAGCGGTTCATCTTGAGCTTGTCACTACTGTTCAATAGAAGCATTCCTGATGGCGTTTCGAAGATTTATATCACATAGAGGAAAATCCTCAACTGTCTATTGGTCCCGCAGTAGACTGATCGTTAAGACACGGTTCCCAGCAGATCACCGAAGTCAAGCATCACTGACTACGGTCAGTGTGTGACAATTAACTAACTTNCTTAATATATTTTTATATGTTTGCCTTAAAAGTTCATTGTTTAAACTTTCAGTATGTAAAATGTAAGTTTTATATTGCACTTCAGTGTTTTCATCATGGAAAAAAAATGGGTGAGAATTTCTCACCCTTTCTCAAAAACAGGGTGAGATTTCAAAAAGTTAAGTGAGATTTCTAAAAACTAAAAAAACACAAAAACTCTTGAAAAAAAAAATCATTTCTTTACTTTTAATACATTTTTAGCGTCTTCTATTTTTTAAAGCATTGAATATTTTTGGTGCATCATCATAGAAGATTTTGCCTTTACAAGGCATTTGTCCATCTTACATTACATTACATTAGCACATAAAAAATTTGAACGTCTTACATGAAGAAACCTTACCTACGGTAAACACGTGGTTGCAGAGAAATGTGTTTTGAAAGGGGTTCCGTGGTTGTGTTCTGTTGTTCGAAAAGGTTCTGAACAATACTGGTAATTAGGGAAGCTAGATAACGGGGCAGATGAGAAAAATAATGAAAGATACAGGAAGAAAAGTGAAACGGATTTTATTCTAAAGGGCGTAATTCGAAGTTTTTTCTAAAATGCGAGAAATTCGCGAATTTTGAAATTGATTTATAGAATGCGCGAATTTCTCGCGGTAATCATTTTTTAATGCGAGAAAAGAAAAAAATATGCGAGATTCTCGCGTTCTCGCGCTGTAGAAATCTGACAATTGTATGCCCATCATGCCGAATGCAGTTTTCTGATTGTTAACTTTGTCTAACTATCTTTGTTGAGCTAAGAAAAATTCATACCCTTGCTGACATTAGGGTGGAATTCAGCTACATTTTCGCAATTTCGATGGGTCACTTAAGCCAGTCAGAAGACTGTACTTCTGTAAACATATCACATTTTGCTATATGTAAAAATACAAGATTTGATGGGCCGAATTTGTCCATCGTAATTTGCGAAAATGTAGCTGAATTCTGCCCTAGAAAGCCATGGATTTACGAAATATAAATTTTTTTTGTGTTCGTACGATAGTTAACATAAAACTGACAGATTTTACACTGTACTGATATTTCGTTTAAGAAATGTTCATTAAAGAAGAAAACCTAAAAAAAACTTTTTATTCAATTTGGGACCCCCTCTGATGAGGGGCCCGGGACAACTGTCCCGTATGCCTCTGCCTTTGTCAGGCTCTACCTACGCAGACTGATCCAAGTGGTCACCCACCAGCACACTGACCGCAGCCAGTGATGCCTGACTTCGGTGATCTGCTGGGAACCGTGTCTTAACGATCAGTCCATGCTCGTACCTCGAAGCGTGAACAGTATTTTATTTGAAATATTTGAAGTTTCCATTATTTACAGATGCCAAAATTTTACATTTGCGGAACACTACTTCTCTACCAAGCTCTCTAGCGTGGAGCTAGCAGATTCGAATCCTCCCGTATTATTTTTTGCATCTTTGTAATGTGATTCTTTAGTTTGTGCTACCTGTTTTTCATTTTGATATTGGATTATAAGCCGTCTTTTTAATAAGAACACAATTTTAAGAATGCATACGTAACAATAAATAAAAGGAACAACGCTACAATGAATTTTTGCGCACACGCTAATGCGTTGGAAAGTTGTCACGCAAAGCTCAAAAATATTTAACCAATCAGCTTTCTGATTACGTCAGTCAATATCACGTATCGAAAGGAGGCGTGTCGTATTTGAAGATATCAAAATATTGCGTGTCTCGTGTTGCTGTTGGGGTTGCAACCGGCATATGAACGAATGCAATTTAATTCATTTTCATTAAGGTATATAATTCAGTAACTACTATTACTACACACTTAATTCGTAAAGCGTATTAGACTGCATGAGTTACGCTGCTGTTACTAAAGGTACATTATTTTTTTCTAATTTAAACAGCTTGTTTTGTTGAATGTTTGGCTTTGACATTTTGTGTTAAATAGAATATTTACTTTAAAATGTAGATTAAAGAAGTTCGAATTGAAAATAGAAGTAGTGGTAGTTCAATTCTATGTTAAGATTGGTACTATTAGGCTCAGAAGAGCACTTGAATAAGAGGAGCTTTTTGAAAATGAACTATTTTCAATTTCACAAAACTACTTAACTTCTGATCTCATTATTTACTCACTTGGTTTGCAGTGGGTGTCGACATTGGGGACTATCAATATATATCACTCTCAAATTTTAGAAACCTCTAAAAAGCCCCCCTTTCAATATTTCAGACAAATAGGAACATTTTAAGCTATTTAGTAAGCAAAAGATTAAAAAACTTATAACTTGTTCAACATTAAGAAAAAAATTCTTTTAGTGGAGAAATACTCATACTTTTCAATATTTTCTTTCCAAGCATTTTCGTTCTTATTTTTTACTTTAAGTAACCTCCGTATTTGTAGAGAAGTACACTGCTGATTTTTTCCCTTGTTTCTCCCCATGCATAAATTCCTAATCAATGTGGCTGAATTAGGAATTTATGGACACATTTAGGAACACTTTATTCAAGAAGACTAACAATTCCTAAGGAAAGAGATTGAAGGTCAAGGGAAAGGTGTAACAGGTTTAACACCTTACCCTCGGAAAGAAACAATCTCTGTTTTCCCATGAAAACGAGGGTGCCACCTTCATTTTCCCTCCAGTGATATAATGACCTTCGATTCCGCTCCTAATCTTCTTTCTTCAGTTTAATATGAGTAAAGTGTATGATTGCATGAATAGTTTTAACTTTTGTCCTCTTATTCCTAAATTGAAATAAATTTTCTAATTTTAGTCTTCATGAGTTCAATCAGATAGTAAATAAATGTTTTAAAATATGATTATTGATTTATTTTTTATTTATGGTATAATAGTACATGTTATGCAGTGATGAGATTCAAATTCTAATACACTTAAATAACTTTTTAACATTTTTAAAAGAAATTGAATAACAGGCGAGAAATATTAGGAACTAAAATTAATAACTTTTTATGAATTTTAAGGTTTAAATACATTTCAAATTTAAATTTTCTAAAATATTTATTTTTTACTTTCAAGTATTCGTTCGAAATGACTGAATCTCATCACTACACGTCAATCGTAATAATCGTCAGTGAAGTCTTGTTTCTAAAGTAGCAAGATAAATCACTAACTTGAATAGCATTTATTAAAGTTCATTTAAATTTAATAGAATGAAACATTCAGCATAAGTGTCTCATCTTAAAATAAAATCTGTTTAATTTATAACAACAAAAATACTAAAATCATATTTAATGTTTCAGCTAATTTTATGTGAAATTCACCAAACATTTTCCTGAAATGAAAAGTAAGTTTTAAATATAATGCACACCAGATTAAATATAATGCACACCAGTATGCCAGATTTAATTTAGAGAAAATATAATTACTTTTAACTAAATAATTATTTTTTTCATATAATTTATGAACTTTTTTTATATATAAATATTAATAAACTTTTATTTTGAATAGTTGATCATTTTTACTTCAAAAATATTTTTTGGAAAAATAATGTGTTCGGAAACAAATTTTGACTGATTTAATATTTCAAGTTTTGAATTTTTTATTTTTGTTAATTAATTTTTTAAATTGCATTTACTTAACTTTCTCAAAGCAAGATGTCTGACTTAGAGAAAGTCTGTTTTCGTTACCCATGTATATAATATATGTATCAATGTAATTTATTTGCAAACATTTTATTTTTTTCATATAAATGAATATAATATAAAAGAGTTAATTTTTAAAAAAATATAATTACTATTTACTAAATAATTAATCAATTAAACTAACTAAATAATTACTCAATCTAAACTTATTAAATAATTAATCTGAGTGATGGAGTTTGCAGAAAAAAAGGTTTTTTCCCATGTATATAAAATTGTTCATGCAGGACTTTTGTTTCTTAAAATCAGATTCTTTGAAGAATGTGCCAAATATTTATGTTTCAAAATCATCGATAATAACAGAAAAGTAGAAATAATATTTACCAAATAATTACATCTCGTATCAACTATTTAACGAATAATAACTAAATCACTAATTTTTATAAGTTCCATAGTTTGCTCATTAGCGTTCATCGCCTAGAAAACTGCTTGTGCAATTCTTTTAATACTGCTTTGTTCGCTTATTTCATTTTTCCAGTCTAGAGTGACCAATGAAACTGAAGAAGAAAAAAAATCAAGATATTATAGTTATTGTAGTTGATTGAAATTTGTCATTCATTGCATGCTAGTTTGAAGCTTGTAAATTAAAAATCTTTGAATTTGGCAGCTAATGTTCATTAATGTATGTTAATTATGTTTTAGTATTTTTATAATTTATTATACGAACGATAAGGGAAAAAATTTTTTGTTAGAATATGGGAAAAAAATAGTTAAAAATTCAAGAATTTATTTCAACATGAATGATTGATAAGAAAAAAATAAGTGTTAAACATACATTTCTTGCAGTAATGAGAGAGCACCATAGAATTTTCCTTAGATGATTTTTATAGCTATAATGTAAATTTTAAATAAAGATAATTGATTTTTTTAAAATAAATAATTTTGAAAATGATATTTCTTAACTTTTATTTAAAGCATGCCATTGTGAATAAGGAATTTTTTTCATTGCTTAATGAATTGTTTATTTTGTAAGCAAATTCCAAAATATCTTATTAAAATGCACTACATGTTTTTTATTTTGTGTTAAGATTTATTTTGGTATTTAATATATCTTGCTGATTAAGGAAAGTAATTATTAACATTTGTTGTATGATTTTGACTAAAATCTACTTTTCATTAATTTTCTTTTATTAAAATTTTAATTGCATAATAAAAAAATTTCAGTTAAAACTCAGATTTACTTTTAAGAGTTAAAAAAAAATAATTCATCATTTTGCAGATGGAATAAATATTTTTTTTTTTAAAATTTATATTGGCTGGATGTAGTATGCTCCGGGGATTATTATATCTTTCTAAAAAATATTTACAGTAATTTTTATTACTGTTTATGTTCTCATTATACCAGCAAGACAATCTTTATCTAGCCTTGAATGACATGCTTTTTCATTGATTTTCAATACATAACAAATTTATTAAATATTCATCTTGAACATTTATGTAAAAAAAAAGTAGATATAATCTAGAATAAGCATAAAATATGTCTTTTAAGGTGAAGAAGCAGGTGTTGGAGTATTTACAGCTGTAGAGGCAGGCTGTGGGTATGGGGATTGTTGAAAATTAGTTTGAAGATTATCACTTTCTGTAGTAGGTTGAGAATGTGGAGTTTCAGGATTAGTTATTTGTTGTTCTACAGGTGTTGGAGGAAGATTCTGAGAATCTTCTCTTTGTGGTGTAGTGATATGGAGAATTGCAGCTTGAAGGTTGGCTACTTGAAAATTGGCTGCTTCAAGAAGAGCCTTTTGAAGATCAGAAATTTCATTTAGAGCTGCTTGAAGATCAGCTATTTGCATAGAGTTGTTTTGAACTGAATCTTTTTCTTGGTTTGTATTTTGAAGAGGAGGTTTCTGGGGTTCAGTTTCAATATCTTGTTTTTGCAATGCACATTGTGAGGGGTCAGCCTGCTGTATTGAGTTAGCTTTGAGGTTTTCAACTTGGGAAAGAGTAGCTTGCAGCCGAGCCAACAGGGAAGGAGCTTCTTGTAAATGAACTTGTCGAGAAAGTACAGTTTGAAGCTGTGCCAAATGAGATGATGCCATCTGAAGTTGATTCATTTGAGCTGGGGATGCTTGGTGGTGAGCTATTTGTGGAGGAATATTTTGACGATGCTCCATTCGAGGAGGAGTCGATTGGTGATGGTTCATTTGGGTGGAATCCATTTGAGGATACCCCATGTGATGGTGACTGGCTTGCTGTCGATTGACTGGAGGGGCATTGCCTTGATGTCGTTCCATCATCTGCACATTTGGTGGATAACGATTCATGTAATGAGGATTAACACGATTATGGGGCATCTGTGAGGGCAATGGTTGAAGATGATTGGGTCGAGAAGTCATTTGAGGGTGATTCATTTGTGATGGCATATGTTGTGAATTCTGAGAAGGAGGCATCTGGTAATGAACTGCATGATGACGAGGCATCTGAGCTATATTTTCTTGGTGTTGGCTCATATGTGATGTATTAGACTGAAAATGACTTCTCTGTGACGTTGGTGGGAAATGAGGAGCCATTGCATGTCCTTGATTCATGTGGGGAGCATTTGTTTGATGATTATCTATATTAGGATAGTTAGGTTTATAATGAGGTGGATATTGTTGACGAGGTGACATTTGAGGTGGAGGGGCTGTTTGATGGTGAGAAATTTGTGCTGCAACAATCTGCGAATTAGTAGTTTCAGTAGCATTTTGCTCATGATGAGGTCTTAATTGTTGCATAGGTGTCTGACTTCGTGGAGCTTCATGAGGTGAAATAATTCTTGGTGGATCTGGTCTTCTACGATATTGTCCAAGTGTAAAAATTGATGAAGGATTGGCACGAGGTAAATATATTGTTATTTTACCTTCATGATAATGTATCCTACAATCCATAACTGATATTGCATTAGGAAGATAAAAATAAAATTGGTGATTTGTTTTATTTTCTCTAATAAATAGCTTCTTTCGAGAAGCAAATACTTTAACATCTCTAGGATCTAAAAAGGAAAAATATGGCAGAACTACTTGCAACATGAAACCTTTAAATTCTCCTTCAGCAGGAAATTGTCGGATCTCGTATTCAATTGAAGGATTTTTAATGTCAAATTCTGGCTTGCGTTCTGTATGAAATTTCCTTATTGTTGTATTTATGGTGAAAGGATCAGAGAAGTATGGCTCTTTATTATTTCCTTCTTCTGATTTGGACAGAACACCTAATCGTTTGTATACATTTCTCAAAGATTCTGGCATAGTCCCATGATAAAACTTCTTTAACAATTCAAATTCTTTTTCTAATTTAATGTTATACCTATCATAAATAGCTTTACATGCTGTTTGATATAGGTAATTAAGTCTTTGATCACGGTGACTGTGAGAAAGTATAGAGTCCATAAATTCTGTTTGAATTATTGTATCATAGCATATGCAAATTTTACCATTTTCATCTCTATCTACACGTTCATCATCTAAATATAAATTAAATCTTAGAATCGATTCATCTCCACGACTAGTATGAATTTTTGAATTATAAACATTGCAATTTGGTAATTCGAGAGAGTGACAAATATTAATGTAAGCTGTTTTGTTTTGTTGCGTTTTTCCTTGGAAGCAAAATCCTGGAACAGTAACTAGTGATGGACATTGACTGTGTATTATATTTTTATTTTCTGGGCAAGTAAAGTCATAGGATTGATCGATTAAGCTATAATCGTAAAGCACTTCATAAAATTTTCCATCTGAACTTCTATTTTCTGCCATACTGGCAAAAAAATTCCTCCTGACTTAACAAGATTTCTAGGCATACATATTTTTCTTTATAATTTTTAATGTAAGCTTGTTACCTTTTTAAAAATTATCATTCAACATTCAAACAGCTTAGAAAATAATTATATGTAACTTTTCTTAGCATAAAATACAAATAATGATCAATCAGTATTAGCTCTCTGATTACTTAGCAATAATTTTAAAAAAATGATTAATTATAGTGTTATTAGTTTCTAGTTATATTTATTAGAAAAATAAAGCATCCGTAAATAGAGAATATTATGTGATCTCCTTATTTGCTAAATAATGAATAATAGAACCAAAACTAAACAATAGCAGACGTATGAGATACATCTCAAAAGGAAAATAAGTATCTGGCAATATAAATGAAGTGATGGTATGAGGCTTTTTACTAGCACGCAGTCATTTATAAAGTTTTTCGTTATAAAAATATTTATTTTTACATTTAATCGTGAAAGTGCATTACATTTTTGAAAAACTATGTCGCAAAAATTATTAATTTAAATAGAATCGGGAAGGCTATCGCAGGAAAAAAATAAATTATAACTCTCTAATATTTTTATAACTCGTAACCGTTTCGTTTTTTGTTTCCAACAAAAACAAAAGTAAACAAACCGGGTAGAATGTAATAGAGATGTTAGGTCTAGTAACAGATCAGTTAATATCGGCATTACCAACAAAAATATGAATTCCATTTTTTTTTTTTAATTAAAGGGGGAAATTTTGCACAGGTTGTCAAAAAGACTGGAAAAAATACGAATTTTTTCTTGACCTTACGGGATTCTAAAACAACACATCAAAATTGTAACTAATTGTATAACACTGAAACTAACTCAAAATTTCAAGGGAATAAAAAACAGGTCATTTTTATCTTCAGTCATTAGAGTAAGTGGACATTCAATTTGGCATAAGATAACTCCAATCCTAATGACAATATTTTAAAATCAGAATGTTCTTTAATCTCTAGAAATGTGTAAAGTTTCAAAATATTTAATTAGTAGAGTTATGACAGTGAGAAGCATACTCTGAGAAAATTTTCGGAAACAAAATTTAAGGGATATTATCATAACCACGGCAAGTTGGCGAAGAGTCGGCGGCAATTATAAAGATAACTTCATGAAACAAAGGAAAATATGATAAATCCTATATCCGGACGTTTGTTTCCGGGAAGGGTACACTTTCCGATCATTTTTAATGTGAGAGTAAAGAGTTAAGTCAGACGAAAAATAAAAGTTATAATTGAAAATTTTTATTTTCTCTTTAAATCATTGACAAAAAGTAAACTGAAACATTTGTGCCAATGTGTTTATTCTCTATTAAGTTAATCCCTTAATAATTTTTAAATTCAGTTGGAGCAAAATGTGAAATCTTCTCTGTTTAATGAACAGGTGCAAATCATGTTTTGTTTTGAAATTTTGTCTTCAGGTATTATCTTATATCTTGCTTGTTCCTTTGGACAGTTAAGTTTTCTTTGCTAATTAGTTCCTGTGGAGTTGGGTGTAATTGTAACTGTGATGTAATTGTTTTCCTTTCTCGTATTCTTAATTATTCCCTTGAATTAATTTTTAATGGAGGAAAATAATTTATATTTTTCCTTATAAATTTGAAAAAGAATTAAAATAAAAAATAGTTGTAATGTTTTCTTTTTTCCAAATTTATTTTTGTTTAAATACATTTTTTAATGATTATTCCTATTTAAATTAAAATTTTTTAATTTTTATTAATTAATATTGTTATTTATTTATTTTTGCTGTTGGGGGAAATTTTATGTATTTTTTTGGCCTAAAATTGTTTTTATTTGGGGTCCATTATTTAAATTTTTTTTTCCTGAATACAAAATGAATGATTATATTTTAATTTGATGTTATTTTAATTAATTTTACTGTAATTATTGAATAAAAAATAATTATGTATTTTGCATATTTGGTAGTGTTTGATCTTAGTTTTGGCTTTATTAGGGACCATATATAGCCTAGACAAATTATTTTTTTTTCGAATACAAGAAAAATAATCATACTTTTCTTTAATCTTCATTAATAATATTTTTTACAGTTATTTAATCAAAAATATTTACAATTATTGTGAATTTGGTTGAATTCGTTCTTTGTTTTGACATACCTTTTTTGATTGGGGATCTATTACCTAGAAAATATTTATGAATGCAAGTTAAATTAAATTTATTATACTTTTTGAAAGAGAAACTTTTTTTTTAATTGGCTGATTTTGTAATTCTTTGATGTGACTTTATTTTGTTTAGTGACTTGTAAAGTATTTCCTGCATATAGATATATACTAACAATCATACTTTTATATGACCTCTCTGAAGTTAATATAACAAAAACATTTTAGTCTTTCAATTTAATTTTACTTTTTGCTTTATCAAGTCTAGTCAATTTACTGTCTTAATGTTGCTCTTAGAAATTAAGGTTGTAACTTTTCACTTTAATTTAAAAGTAATGTTTTTAAAACAGTTGTTATAATTCTATTTCTGATGTTATCTATTTCCATAGGAATAATGCCGAGTGATAAAAGTGGTGTCCCTGCAAGTCAGGGCAATGATAAGAGCATTTATCGCATACCTCCGTACATGTATATGCATGTATTGGATCAGACTGCAAATGTCACTAGAGTTGAAGCAGGTCCAAAGACATATGTGCGGCAAGAGAACGAACGGTAAAGAAAATTATTTCTTCTGTTTCAACATTATTATTGGTATTTTAAATCTTTTTGCTGTTTAGATTTAGTTGCTTTTAAAGACATTAAAAGCACTAAGTGCTCTTTTTCTTAAATCTTAAATAAAATATCAGCTCTTTCTCCTTCATCTATTCGTACAAAAGTTTTTAAATAGATTTGGATAATTGCTTAACATTAGTTATAAAATCATAGCATATGAAGTAATCAAAACATCTTTATACTGAGTCATTAAAAGGAAACTGGCAGTGTTCAGAAATTCATACGTGTGAATCTTTTGAAAGTATCTAATAAAACCTTAAGTGCATGTTGCATCGATCACTATAGAAAAAGTTTAAAGCTTCATTGATGATCTGGTGCCGTGCTGTTAAAATTACATGCATATGTTCAGTACACAAAGAAACCCACCCGATATAGCTTTTGATCTAGTGAGTGGATCTTCATATACTTTCAAATACACCTTTTTACAACAAAAAAAAAGTCTATTTGATTTAATAATAATCATTTTAAAGAATGTAAATTGTGTGGTAATTGTGTGTGAATGTAAATTTGTGGCAAAATCCAAAATTTGAACGACATCGATTGAGTAGCTCCTGAGAAATATAATTTTAAATATACAATTTTTTTAAATTAGGTTTCGCAGGAACCAACTGATTTTGTTCAAATTTTTAATTTTGTCATATGAAATTACATTTTTTTATTAATATTAAATGAAATAGTAATAAAAAATAAAACAATTGGGTACAAATGTTTGTATGATTCTCAGATTTTTTTTATAGATCTTGGATATTTTTACATTTCTGATTTCAAATCAGCAATCAGTTTCTCCGACAAAGCTGCAGTTTGTTTAAACGATATTTTTAATCTATTTTTTGTCGAAATGTACCAGTTAAAAAACATAATATGTAGTGACGGCCGCATAAATGTCGCAACAAACTCTTAGGGGAGTTAAAACACAATATCACAATTAAAACTGCGTAAGAATTCATGCCGAGAAATGTCATCATACTCTGCTAGACACAGCTCATAATAAGGGCGCTTCCCTATTATGAAATGTTTCTTGTGCTTCTGAACATGTCATAATAGGAAAGCTCTCTTAACTGCATACGACATTTCAGAGTTAGGGCTCATATGCAGTTTTAATCCTAGTGATGTTCCCTAATTTTCCTAAAAATTTGTTTCAACATTTATGCGACCCTCTGTTATATGTAATGCTTGTAATTTGTACATTTCAACGAAAATTTGACTAAAAATGTTATTTAACAAAATTGCAGCTTTAGGAGCAAATCTAATTTCAGGTATGAAATCCCTACACTCGAATTAGGTAAGATCAAGTATTTGTATAAATGCAACAACAAAAATTTTTCTCAAGTTTAATTATTTAAAATTGATTTTTGCATTAAATTATCTTTAAATAAACAAAATTTACAAATATGTGTGAAAAATTTTTGATTTCCAAAAAAGTTGATATGGTGAAATATGCATTAAGTAAAATTAATGCTAAGGGGTCCAAGTTTTCGATCTCTCTCCTGACTAAGTTATTGGGACCATAATTTCCAGATTGCGGCTACCTTCCATATTTTAAGAGTCGAAAATCCGAATCTGTTTGCAAAAGTTAACATAGTTAAGGGTAAGTTCTCGAACCACTAAGAATGAGTCCTTGTCTTTTAAAACCCAATGATTAAATCAAAAGTTATTCAGGATGTTCATTTTCTTATTTTATGCACTGTATTTTGTGTTTTAAGGCAATTTTTTTTTCTTTTTTTTTATACTTAGGAATGATTTATTAATGATATAAAAATTTATTATGGTTTTTAAAAGCCAAAATTACTTTTTCATCAAAAAAAAAGTTATGCACCCCCAATTTAATGTTGGAATAATAAAATAGTTTCCTTATAGAGGTTGCAGTTAAACATCTAAACTGAAATAATTTTAAATTATTATTTGCCACATTTGGATTCTTTGGCACCATTATGATTAGCCATAATCTTTCACTTAATATTAATTGTTCGAAAATATCTTGTATATATTGTGTTTTAATATATTTTGTATTTGTTTATTTACTAGTGTGGTGTTGGAACCTCGAAAAATGATTATTATCCCTCCTTGCCATTACTGTATTATCTGCAATCCTGTGGTTCGAAATGCAGAAAATGCTTTGATTTATGATATTAGTGGTCAGACAAAATTGCGACATGCTGATTTAGAGGTGCGCCTTGAACAAGAGCCTTTCCCTTTGTATCCTGGTGAAGTGTTATTCCGTGTAAGTAAAGTTTTTAATTCTATCAAATTATACGTTAGTTATGATATTGGAATGGGCGTGGGAAATTTGATCAGATAAGGCCTGGAAAATCTGTACTCGAGGTTTCTGTTTCTTTAAAATCTTGTTCCAAGAAGCTTAAACTGTAATATACTTGTTTTTGGCTAGATCTAGGAACTGTTATTTTCATTGATCGTCTAAAATTGTTCCTTAGTTAATGGTGCCAAAGTACATATATCATTATTTATTTCTTTTGTTTATCTTCCTTTTTAATATAACTTAAAAATTCTGTTTTATTTTTTTTTCTCTTGAAGAATATAATTTAAAATGAATTAAGTTGCGATTTATTTTTCTACACTCTGTAACTTGTAATGAATTTTTTTTTCACTTTTTGTCAGCTTTGTTCATTATTTGATTTATATTTCACTAATTTTATTTTGTTTTCAGGATGTTGAACCTTTGACAGTTGTTCATGCAAATAGTGCTCTGTTGTTGAAAGCCAACCGTGATTTTGAAGAAGCTGGAGTTAAGAGAGTTGCTGGAGATGAATGGCTGTTTGAAGGCCCTGGTAAGTTTTTAATGTTAATATATTTTATGCTGTTAATATATTTAATTATATTTAAGTTATTAAAGTTGGTTTTTTATTAGCTGTAAAATACATATTGTTTAGCTCTTTTTTGCCTTCTTGTGAGGCTGTAATTTTTTTTTTGTTGGTGCGAGGAAGAGCAAGGTTGTAGAAGAATTATCTCATTGAAATTTGAATAGTTTTTTTTTCTCTAGTCAGATTTGTTTTGGGGATATTTTTCCTGAGGTTTTTTTAACTGACCTTTATTTTAGATCAATGCAAATTCAAGACTAATTTTTCATATTGCATCTTTCAGGCATGCGATTCTTCCGCTAATTCGTGGAGTTCCGCAACTGCCAAGACCGTTGATTTGCTGACTTGCACAAATTAATAATTTATATTCCGCCAACTTTTTTGAAATTCCTCAAATCTAAATTCTAAATTTTTTACTTACTCAAAATCTTGTTAACAAGACATTTATACTGCCCTTTCCAGCACCCTCTAATTTTCTTCCTAAGTTCTTATTCTTGCACTATACTGTTTTTTTTTGTTTATTATATAATTATTTATTTGTTGGATATGTTAGTTGTCTTCCTAATTTAGCTTTTTCCTTTTATCAGGTACTTTTGTTCCTCGTAAAGAAGTTGAAATTGTTAGAACTGTTTCTGCAACTGTTATAAAACCTAACCAAGCTTTGAGATTGAAAGCCAAAACTGAAACTAAAGATCGAGAAGGCAAAAGCAGAGTGGCTGGGGAAGAATGGATTGTAAAAAAAACGGGTGCATATCTTCCAGGTGCTTATGAAGAAATTGTAGATGTCGTTGATGCCTATGTTCTTACGGAAAAGGTAGGGTGTATGATTTATTGAAGAGATAGTGACTTAATAAATGCTTTAAAATTCAGGTATTATTAATATTTGTTTTAAAATTTTAGTTATGTAATTTTAAAAAATCAATTAGTGGTTTGCATTATTACTGGCACAATATTGAGATATAATTTTTGGGTAATTTAAATAATCTTATTAAACTGAATAATTTTTTGATTTTATACTAATTCTACACTGATTTTGTTTGTGTTGTAATTTTTTTAACTTATACAAGAGTAAAACCTTATAAATTAAATTGGAAAGTTTTAAAAATTAGTATGTAACAACTTTTTAAAATTATGCAAATAGGTTGTGGATGACCAAAAAAACAAATATAACTGAAAATACAAATTTTGATGTTGCTTGTTTCAATTACAGGGTTGCTTAATTAGTATAGTAAGTTTTGAATTAATTTTCCTAGGATAGTCAAGGATAAACTACTAAAACATTCTTAGATTGAAAATAGATAAAGTTGCATTGCAAAAAAACACATAAAGACAAGTTTATCTAGTGAATGCAGTTGTTTTAAGAGGGGAAAATCTATGCGGACATTTGGTGATAATGCAGGGCAATTATAAATTATGTAGTTTTTCACATTCACAAAATTTGTTGGATCCTATTCATGAAACAAGTGTATGTTATTTAAAAGCTAACATTTTTTCTTGATTACAATAACATGTTTCGAATTATAGTTACATGTTCCGAATTATAGTCTCATTTTCCATCACATTTTAAATTTAAATAGCATTAAACTGAATAAATAAAAAAATTATTTTAAAGTTAGATTACATTTAAAACTATATTGTTACTTCAATTTCAGATGCAATTCATACAAAAGTTTAGTATTTTAAAAAACTGTTACACCGGTCCTAAATAAAACTTTAAAACTGTCCTTCAATTATTTTGGAGCTGTTTTAATTTAACTTGATAATCAAATATATTAAGTTTGATTTTTTTACATTAACAGGAAGCTGTTCACATTAGAGCCAAAAGGACGTTTGTTGATGAATTTAATAAAACTAGAAAAAATGGTGAAGAGTGGCTCATCACCTTTGAGGATACTGAAACATTCATTCCTGGTGTGTATGAAGAAGTTGTAGGAGTAGTTCATATAACTACACTTTCTAATCGACAGTATTGTGTAATTCTTGATCCCATTGGTGAGGATGGAAAACCCCAATTGGGAAAGAAAAAATTAGTAAAGGTAAGATACTTGTGTGCTGCTTAGTTAGAAATGATATGCAATCCAGGTATTTATGTAATCTCATAAACCAGATGTTTTTTCCTTCCCAAATTTCCAATTTGAAAGTTTGAGTTAAAAAGTAGTCAATAAAAATATTTCATTGCATTCATTTTTTCTGTTACGTTTTAATATTAAAAAAAAACTTTTTTAAAAAAAAGGGGGGAAAAAGAAAGAAAAATGATACAAATGCTGAGAAACTTTCTGATGCTGGATTTTAATGTATTTCAATAATTAGGTGACTGCTAAAAAATTTCGATTCTTTGATGCATTTATATTTATAAGATTTTATCAAAAATTATCCATTTTCTAAAATATTTTTTAGCAAGAAAGTTTATTGAAGCTTTATTAGAATATATTGCTTTTTAAAAAATATTTTTCTTCCATGTTATGAAAGCTATTACAATATTTCATCATAAACATTGATGCTGACGAATATTTTCCACTTTGAGCTGCAAATTACCTTCTCAGTTAGCATATCTTTGATAAGTCATTTAACCTGCAAGTATGATGCAAGCTCAAAAAAACTAAATGCGCTCTCGGTGGGAATGGAAGTTTTCTTTAAGGATTAAATTTTCCTTTCTTGTTATTATATTATTATTTAAAATTTTAATTTTTATATTTGTTATTTTAGGGAGAAAAGTCTTTTTTTATGAAACCTGGTGAGCGATTAGAATCTGGTATTCAAGATGTTCATGTCTTGAGTGAAAATGAGGGTTTGGTATTGAAAGCAAGAGAGGCATTTTTAGATAATAGTGAAACACCGGTATGTTTATTGATGTGTAATAATAATTATCAAAACTTTGTATTATAATAATTATCAAAATTTATTGTAATAAATTTGTAAACTACTCTGTATTAAGTTTTGTTTGTATTATCGAACTTGTTTATCTCGAATCTCATGGGAAAGGCTAAAAATTTGAGATAAAAGAGGTTTTGAGTTATACAGGTACTTTAAAAAAATTTTAATTTAATTAAGAAATTCTATTAAAAGTGCTTTAAATGTTTTTAGTAGAAAAATATAGGTATTTTTTTCAAATTAATTATACCACATACATCACATACATACCACATACATAACATTTTTTAACATACATTTAACATGGGAAACAATTTATCAAAGATTTTTGATGTATAACCTTATTTGTTTTGATTATTCTTTTAAGGTTAGAAAGAGCGTAAATCCCTCACAGCCAACATTTTTCTGGGATTCAAGAATAGTTTATAAAAATTATACAGCTTTTTCTACCTCTTTTGCATTCACTTTTGGTTCATCAATATGATCTTCAGCATCTTCCTTGTCATCTAATATTCCTTTGACATTATCTATGATTTCTGCATCTGTCAATGTTCCATATGTTACCAGGCAGTTGTCCACTTGTTAAAATCTTCAAAATTAATGTCCACATTTAATCCAGATTTTGTTACATTCCATTCTGGCAAATCCGGCACTGCATTTTCAGCCTCAACAGTTTCTTCTTTACTGACGCTTTCAACCTCTTGTTCATCATCTTCACAGCTATTCTTAAAACCAGCTTTTTAAAACCATTATGGATAGTTTTTAGAGACACATTTCTCCAGGCAAACTTTGCATACCAACTGTTTTTTATAGTTCACTTTAAAACTTCTAATTATCCTTTGATCCATTAGTTGCAATTTTGATATGAAAATGAATTTATATTCTTAGCTTTCTTATCTATGATGAAAAGCTAGCCCTTAGTGGTCACTACTCATTAACCCCTCACTTACTGCCAGAATCATTGCATTCCTTTCTAGTTACGGAAGTGCAGGGTTGTGATTGAAATTCCCAGAAACACCCCAACCTGTTCATCCCTACTTCCTGTGGGTTCATGAAATTCATCTCTGTCTACAAGTTTTACTGATAAAGAGGGTTTTGACATTTGGACTCTATTATTAGAAATTCGAGAAACGGAGGTTTTTGAAGAGAAAAAAAAAATTCGACATAAACATGGAAAATACATTGATTTTAAAGAGTTAAATATAGGGAATTTATTTATTTCTCTTTTGAGATATAGTGGTTTTAGAGATAAAGAGGTTTGAGATAAACAGGTTCAACTGTATATATTTTTTAAGCATGTAATTGTATTTATTTTTGCATGTATTTTTTTAAGCATTTAATTGTGGTTAATTTTAAACCAATATGCAACTTCATTTCCTTTTTTTTTTTTTTTTTTTTTTTTTTTTTTTTTTTTTTTTTTTTTTTTTGCATCTTTTATTTATAATTTTTTTTTCTAATCTTTTTCAAAATCCACATTTTTAATTAAGTTTTCTTATGGCTATCATTTCTATCTATTCATTTCTATCATTCTATGTATCATTTCTATATTCCATGGCTATCACGTTTCTTCTTATTTTTTTTTAATTAAGTTTATGGATAGGCATCAATTTGTCCTGATTGTGAATGTCCAAAACACTAATTACGAATTCAAAATTCATGTTTTTTTTTATTACCTCTTTTCATGTAACTTTTTCTAATGTGGTAAATTCATTTGGTTAGACCTTGAATATAAAAGCATTCTTATTCTTATAAAGGCAAAGCACTCTCTTAATTGACCATTGTGAGCGATAGCATAAGGGCTGTTAAGACTCCACAGTTTCGTGACTGGTGGCATTATGATGGTAATGTTTTCAGCATTGCACACCGACCATCTTCACTTTCCAGATAAGTTGGTACCCATTAATCTGAAACTGGTTGGGTTTTAAGATGCCTCTGGTTATTGAACCCCTGTTTTTCACTGTAACAGCTCTGTGTCTTAATTACTGAGCTATCATGACTCATTGTTTTTCGTGCTTTAGTAAATTTTGTGCGTTAATCTTTATGTACTTTAATGTTTTGAAGCTTATTTTAAAAATGCGGAAAAAATTTAATTCGTATCATATTTAAGAAGTACTTCTTACAATTTTATGTGATTATGCAAAAATAGAAGCTCTTATCACAAAAAATAGTAGTAATTGAAGGAATGAAAAAGCATTGCAAGATGTTGGGTCACAACTCTCCGTTTATTACCAGTATTTTTTACGAAATAATTAACTTATAATTCATATAATGATTCGAAATAAATAACATATAATTCATTATAACATATTTTTAGAAACTTTCATTTGCATATTTAAGAATGCTTTGAAAAATTTATTTGACAGTTGATAATGCAAATTTTTTAAATACATGATGTAAATTGGAATGAATAATATTTTCAATATTGAATACTTGTTTTTTTAAAAATTCATTTGTGTTTTGAAATAAACTAAATTTATGACTTTTTCTTTACCCCTTTTTTCTTAAAAAAACATGTCCTTTAAACATAAGACATGCTGTCTATTTAGGTCTCAATTTTATTTAATCATTTCATGTTTTTTCCTCTTTACTTAAATTATATATTGCTTATATTAGAATGTAAGAGGAATTAAATTGTTTTTACTATTTTTCAAACTATTGATCTTTTTAGTTACAATAGAATGCATTTTTTCCTTCAATGAATACTTTGCCGTACTCAAAATTTAATATTTTTGCAATAAATTGGGCTATTTTCATATCAGAGTAAGTAACTATGTCAACTTTTATAATTGTTTACAATGTTCATTGAATATTAGCTTTTAAGCAATAGCCTTAATATTTTAGTTAAAGATAGATATCAGATGTTTAAAGCAGAACTGAAAGATTAGAATATTTTATTAATGCACTTAATGTGTAATATCAAAGTTTTGTCACATCCTATCGATATAAAATATTCTCAGCACTACATAAAGATTGATTTAAGTGAACAAAATAAGTAATTAATTTATTTAAAATTTAGGCTATCAATCGCAAGCCTGGAGATCGATGGATGATTAATGGTCCAGCAGAATACATCCCACCTACTGAAGTCGAAATAGTCACTAAAAGATATTCCATCGCTTTAGATGAGAATGAAGGCATTTATGTTAGAAATATAAAAACAGGACATGTGAGTAAAAAAATTTTACCAGTATTTGTTATTTCTTTGATACTAAATTTCTATTTTCCTAAAAGTGCTTTTTACATTAAATACAATTTAAAGAGAAAAAAAAATCTCTTTGAATAGTCTTTGATAAAGCTTTTCAGAGTTAACGAGCATTTTCTTTAAGTAACAGCTTACTAATATATATATAAAAATATATATATATTTGGACGTCAGATAAATCGCTACGTTTCTGCATTACGCTAACGATTGAAATGCTTTCCGATGCCCTAGGGCATCCTTTATATACCCTCCACTGTAATGTGCTGCCCCCTGCCTTCTGTGATTGGTTATTTCACGTTGACGCCGAAAGTAGGTGGTGGTCACATTAATGTGACTGAACTGTGTATATTACATATATATATATATAAAAAATATGACATATCAGATTTTCGACTTTCAATGAGAAATATTTTGTAATTTGTTTTTCAAACTTTGTACGACTTAAAAAAATATTAGTATAAAATGCTATGTATCATCTATTGACTTTTGTTGACTCCAACTTTTTTCTTCAGTATTTTATGTAATTTTTTAATTTCATATCAAAAAATATGTTTTAGATAAAATTGTACTTTTTTGCTACTATTTAGATTGTGCTAAAATTATTAAAATAAAAATAGTTGCAATATTAAAAATTCTGAATCTATTATCCCTGACTGTCCTATAAATCAGAAAGGATTTTTTCTTCTGAGCTTGAGTAGGATATCTGTTACATTTATTTGCAAAAATGAAACATTGCTTTACCTTTTCTTTATATTAATAGATAGAAATTGAAACAGTTAATTTATTGTTTTAAATACCTTTTCTAGGTTCGTTTAGTATCTGGATCAACTTATATGCTTACACAAGATGAAGAACTTTGGGTAAAGGAATTGCCACCATTTGTGGAAGAGCTGATTAACCAAGGTATGGATCCTTTAAGTGATAGAGGAAGCTGGAAAATGATGAGACAAGGTGCTGTTCCTATGAAAGCAAGAAGCAAGTCTGATGAGGAAGGAGCTCGTGCTGTAACCTTAAGAGTTCCTCATAATGCTGCTGTTCAAGTCTATGATTACAAGGCTAAAAAATCTAGGTAATCTTACGAAGTTTCATCAAACTTAACTGCATTGTCTTACACAAACTAGTTAATGGGAGTTACTTATGCACTACTCTTCCCTCAATTTTAACTATTTGACAAAATCAATGATCCTTGAATTTATTACTCACTGCAGAAATTTTATCTAACTAAATTATGTTATTTTTTTTAAACATATTACAGAGTTGTTTTTGGACCTGATCTTGTTATGCTGTCCCCTGATGAACAGTTTACTCAACTGAGTCTGTCTGGTGACAAGCCAAAACGTCCAAATGTGATTAAAAGTCTCTGCTTACTGCTTGGGCCTGATTTCTGTACAGACATTATAACTGTTGAAACTGCTGATCATGCACGACTGTCTCTTCAGTTGGCATATAACTGGTATTTATTTTACGCATATAATGTTTCTAGCTTTTATTATGTTTTATAAATCTACCTAAATGTTTTTTTTTTATTTGGAAGAAAAACTACTTATACTTAACTTAATTATACTAAAATTTATTTTATCATTAAATGTTTGATTAGCCTCTCTTAACTGGAATGTCAGTAGAATCAACAGGTTTCTTTTGAATATCTCTGTATAAAGAAATGAAGTTATTTGGAAAAAAAGTACAAATTTTAATTATACTAAAAAAATTTTTTTGATCATTAAATGTTTGATTAACCTCTCTTAACTGGAATGTCAGTAGAATCAACAGGTTTCTTTTGAATATCTCTGTATAAGGAAATGAAGTTATTAGGAAAAAAAGCCTCATTTTATTGAACCTCATTTTATTGAATGAAGGCGTATTTAATATTGATTGCTGGTTGATGTTTGTTTGAAATTATAGTAGGGGGGGAGGGCTTGTTCTGTTAATATTTAGTTAATTGAATTCACACTAAAACTAAATCTGCAATTTTGATTATTTTATTATAAATTTATTTAAAAATAATTTGTGAAGAAATATTTATATGCAGTTCCATTTTTAAGGTACTTTGATGTGAATGATAAAAGTGCAGAGAAAGCAGCAAAACTTTTTAGTGTTCCAGACTTTATTGGAGATCTTTGTAAAGCAATAGCGTCTAGGATCCGTGGTGCTGTAGCTGGTACTAATTTTGATGATTTCCACAAGGTTATTATAGTTTATATATTTTTTCTAGAATATTACATTCTAGAATTCCATATCTTAGAATAGTACATTTTGAATCTGGTGTCAAAGAGCAAACAAGTTGTTTACTGATTTATTTTTATGAAATTGTGTTTCTATTAACATAATTCATTAACAATTGCATATTTTATTCTGTTTTTTGTAAAAATTATATATTTAATAATATATAGTTTAGGTGATAGGCACTGAAAATAAATAGAATTAATTTTTAAATTTTTTTTAGAGTACCACATTCCTTAAGTGACTTTTTATGACGCAGGCTAAAATCATGCATATTACTATTTAGTCCTATATTTAAAACAAACTCCATTACTAATACAAATTGGGAATATTATTATAGTTTATTGTATTTTATACTATTAAAAGCAAAATATCTATTCAGGTCTAATCGAACAATTTTTTTTTGTGTCAAAAACTTAATTTGGTTCTTAAGTTGGAAAATTTATTTTCATGATTTAGAAATATAATTTTTTCTCTTGTCAAAACTTCAAAAAAAAAATTTTCTGAAGGATTTCATTAGAAGTTCAAGAATACTTCTATGTAACATAATAAAAAATCCAAAATTATCAGATTTTTTTACATATATTTTTTTAAAATTCTGATAAAAATTTATTTTTAATGTTGTGATATTCTGAATATTGAAAACTATTTTAAAAAATGTATTGAAAACAACTTTTGTTATATAGCAACTTTATAAAATTCTCGTATTATCTTTAAATTCTTAACAAATTGCATCAAAATTATGCAATTTTAAAAGAAATCTCACAAAAGTTTTTTACAACATTTTATTTAATTATTATAAATTTATCTTTCTAAAATGTGGGCATAAATTTTTCATGGTCTTTTCCATATGCATGTTCACATAGAGGAAGTAGGAAACTCTTCCAATCAAAATAATCTTTTAATTGACCTCTTTTTTTTGTTATCTTGTCAGAAAAAATTAAAAACTCCTAGCCCTACTGACTCAGACTTAAAAAAATTTATTAAAAATAAAAATTGAATGAATATTTTCTGTTAGTTGATACAAACCAATCATTTTTATTAATTGATTTATTTAGAATTTAGTTTCAATGCAAGTTTGGCAAAAAGAATATTTTGTATCATAATTTTAATGTTTATGTACACTGTTTTACTTGCTCAGAATCAAGTTCATCTTAGAATAAAAGAAAGCTAAGGAGAAAAAAATGTCCTAATATTAATTTTTTTAAACACGTTAATTGATGTGCTGTAAGCTATTACTTTTTACACGAATCTTGAAAATATGTGTTACAATTATGCTTCTACTTCAAATGAGCTACAGCATATTGACAGCCTCAATGAGCTTCCTCCAGCAGATCCAATCAAATGCTATGATCTTCCAACTTTTGAAATTTAATGTATAACTATGTTTGCAGTGTTATATTTGAGTATATTGTGATTTAATCACTAATTCTCTACACTTTGAAAATATTCTTCAGAACTCTGCTGAAGTCATCCGCACTGCAGTATTTGGGCGTGATGAGCACATGAAAATAAGAAAAACTTTCTGTTTTCCTCAAAATAATCTGTATATTACTAGTGTTGATATTCAAAGTGTTGAGCCAGTAGATCAAAGGACAAGAGATTCTCTACAAAAATCAGTCCAGTTGGCAATTGAAATCACCACATCAAGTCAAGAAGCTACTGCAAGGTATACATTATCTTTTTATTAATTTTCTTTCATTTGTCTGAGATTGTTATCTTGTGGTTGAAATATCTACTTTCCAGCCAGCAATGAAATCTGTGCTGAAGCTCTTTGCTCCATTACAATGCCAATTTCAATCAATTACTAGCCACCACTATCAGAGTTTATAGGTTTTTATGACCCAATAAATTTTATCGTCAATCAAAATTCTGATCCTTTATGCAAAATATTGCATATTAAAATTTATCAACATAAATTTAGCTCCATTTTCTTTCCAGCTTAGTAGAGGACTAAGTTTCAACTATGTGTCTGCTGCTTATTAAGTTACTGGAGTTTACTGTTGTTGTTTCTAATGACGCTTGCCATGTTCCTAAATGGTACAAGCAAAATTTTGTTCACTTTCCAACACAACAAGCAAACTGAAATTAAAAAAAAATAGTAAAGCAAATTCCAAGTAAAGTAAGCGGTAGAATTTTTTTTTATTTTTCTCTGATCTATATTCCAAAAGGTTAGGCTTGTCACTTTAGTTAAATTTTTTGATGGTTATGCACTCTGGTGTTATATGTCTAACAAAAATAAAATTTCAATTTTTGTATTCTACTTGAAAGACACTATGTTTAAAAATTTTTTATTGTTTAAGTAAATGTGGTTTATTTCTCCATTTTTAGAAAATAAAAAATCTCTAATTCATTAAGCTATTTTGCAGGCATGAAGCTGAAAGACGAGAACAAGAAGCCAAAGGTCGCCTTGAACGTCAGAGAATATCTGATGAAGTAGAAGCTGAAAAAACTCGAAAGAATTTGTTAGAGCTGCAAGTTGCCAGAATGGCCATTGAAAACTGTGGTCAATCTAAAGCTGAAGCTCTGAGTCGTACTGAAGCTCAACGTATTGAAGCTGAAGCTGCCATTGATCAAGCCAAGGCTAAAGCAGAAGCTAAACGCATTGAAGCTGTATGTATTAAAGTATTCTTTTTCTTAAATTCATTGCTTTGAAGCAGATATTCAAACTGGTTTGTCTATAAAGGCCAAATTTAAGTTTGTTAGATCAAACTGGAAAGTTCTAAATGCCAGATAAACGGCAATTAGCGGAGGGGGAAGTGAAGTTGCAAAATATTTAAAAGTTTTATCAAAATTCAATATTTTTTTTTTGGACATGGAATATTAATGCTTGCAACTTCAATTACTATAAGTAGTAATTTCCAGAGGTTTAAAATGACAGCTAAATTTAATAATTGCAAATGAAAATAATGAAGCTGTATTTTAAAAGTTAACAGGGATCGTATTTTCCCTAAAATTTTTCTAAAGGTTTTTCACAACCTCTAAAATACTAAAATTTTGCAGTTCCTAAAAAATGGAAATTATGTGAGAAGTAATGATTAAATCTCTCAAATTAACGTTCTACTCTAATCAAATAACTAAATCTGGGTTGCACCGATCTAACAGCTAAGTGCTTCAAACACATAAGAATTTACTTGTTGAGAGAGCTATCAGCATTGTGCTTCATTTCTTAAGCTTTCATTGCTCGTAATCATTTTAAAACATTTTCATAGCGTTTTCAAGGTAAATTACTTAAAATACACCTACTTCCTGTTCAGTAAAATAAATAAGTTGATCAGCATGTTATATGCAATTCATACAGGCCAGTATTGTTGCTGCCACGAAAGGCAGATATAAGGTATAACGAAATTGATAATGGTAAGAATTGGAAACAATTCTATTTAAATTGGTATGCTAGTTGAAATTTTTTAGTTAACTTAACAAAGAACAATAGCGAAAATATTTTCGTGAATGTTTTTTTCTACAATTATTTAAAACTCGGAATTATTTAAAATTTTACTTACTTTTTTCTGATTAGTTTTTCAAGCACTTAGAATTTTTCGACATGGAAAAAAAATTGAACAATAGTACAAAAAGTGTGCTTGCAATTTCCAGAATTGTTCGTTATTGAAATTTTTTGAAAGAGTATATTGACAGTGTTAGGTATTAATGGAAGCTATAAATATTTTATGTTAGTACCCATAAGAAACTATCTTAATGCAGGTTTATGGATATTTGATGAAACAGATTCTTTAAGATATTATCTAAAATGTGAAAAATTAATTGCATTAATATAAACCATTTTAACTTTTCAAACTGAGAATCCTGAAAGGGGTTTTTGATAAGTAAAGCTATGCTCAGTGTTAGTCACAATGAAATGAAAATACTATTTTATGTCTCATATTGGTGAATGATACTCAAAATTATAAAGGGGTATTAAATATACCTTTCACATTAGCACTACTTTTGGCAGTGAAAGATTCTCATAATTCATACCTGGAATTTAGTAGAATAGTAAAATAAGTTATACTAAGTAATAAATTTAAAAACTAATGAATAAAAAAATGAAAAATTTTGATTTACAGATTCGTGAAAGTAGCCAAAAAACTAGACATTGGCCTAACAAAATAATGAACAGAAAGATTGAGAAAAGCTGCAGTGTCTCAAAATATTGTAGAAATGATGGTCTCATATACTTTTAATATCTAAAAGAACTGATTAGCTACAAAATTCGGAAAAATGTCGAGACATGGATTCCAGAGTCTCGAACTTAATGTCAATTCCAAAGATATTAAGTACTAATTAAGTACTAATATTATCACTACCAAAGTAGAAATCTGAGATGGTAGAACTACAAAATATAGAATCAGAAATGACTGTCTTCAAAACTGTGAAAGAAATATTGAAAAAGTGACTGAAAATTAAATATTGCTTCTAATTTTTAACTATAATTGAAATTTAATAGTAAACAATATTTTTTGTTAAAATAATTAGGTAAAAATAAAGTTTCGAAGTAGTCATCAAATTAATGTTTTTTTCTTAAAATTTCTCTAACATCTAATAGTCTACCACGAAGTTATAAGGCTATGTAGACCATTTGTTTTATGTATTTAAAAAAATTACTATTGCCATTACCATTTGTTTTAAAAAAATTACTCGTAATTTGTGAATATGAAATAAACGATAAGTCATTCTTTCAACCAGGGTCCTGCTTTTATGAATTTGTGCAAATAGGGTCCGGTTATAGCAACAAAAAAAATTCAAGGAGTTTTTAAATTGTAAAGAGATAGGAGATTATGCTCAACACTGTAAAATTATAATTAAAAAAATTAAATTTTAAAAAATAAACAACAATTGCTGCTTCTAAATTAGAGATGCAACATACAAATATTTGGTATTTAGCCTATACTGCTGAACGCAGAATATTAATTTCGGACGAATAATGGAAGAATCGTCTGCCGAAGACAAAACTTAATTCGTTTACATCCATCTTTCTTGTTTTCTGCCCTGGAAAGGGTTTATTCGATTAACAAAATAATAATGAAGATAAACAAATTTGTGAAGGGTCCGATTAAAAGAAAAATTATTTTGTGAAGGGTCCGTTTTTAAGTTAAAATATTTTGTGAAGGGTCCGTTTTTATGAAAAGATATTTTGTGAAGGGTCCGTTAACGGACCCAAATTTCTTCTAAACAGACCCCTGCCTAATAACTTAAATTTTAATAAAATTTTTACTTCATAGCTACTTTTACAAATTATGTAGAATTTAGATAAATATATGTCTTTATATTATAAGGTAGTTTAATGTAAGTAAATAGGTACTATCAGTGTATGTTGATTATTCCACTCATGAAATGCCAAAATTAAAGTCACGACCTGCTTATATGAAATCCACTATCGTTAACCCCGATTTTCATTTCATGGACCCCCAATTTTTTTTTCGCTTGACATGGACCCCTTGCAGGTTGTCATCGACCCCTGAGGATCGATATAGACCACTTTGGGAATCAATATAATCAGGGGTCTGTCCAGACATTTTGTGAAAGGTCCGTTTTTCGTGAAATTGTGAAAAAATTACTCACATTCTTTCAACCAGGGTCCGCTTTTATGAATTTGTGCAAATGGGGTCCGATTGCAAAAAAAATTTTTTCAAGGAGTTTTTAAATTGTTAAGACATGCAAGATTATGCTCAACACTGTAAAATTATAATTTAAAAAATTAAATTTTAAAAAATAAACAGCAATTGCAGCTACTAAATTAACGATGCGACGTATAAATATTTGGTATTTAGCCTATACTGCTGAATGCAGAATATTCATTTCGGACGAATAAAGGTCTGCCGAAGACAAAATTTAGTTCGTTTGCATCGGTCTTTCTTTCGCCCCTCCCTTCTAGGAAGGGTTTATTCGATTAACAAATTAACGGACCCAAATTTCTTCTAAACAGACCCCTGCAATTAATATTTTTTTTTTTTTTAAAAAATTTATGATTAGAGATTGTCTTTTAGCACGCCTTTAATTATTTCTTTTTAACTACTTTAAAAACTGTTGAGGATCAAATTCAGTTATTACATAATATTACACAATTAGATAAATTTTTAAGGTGTTATGTAGGAGCTTCTTCAAAATTCAAACTGTCCTTTCCTTTTTTTCAGGTAGAACTTTAGATATCAAACAGTCTCTCTTATTTTAATACAATCAACAGAATAGATAGAAAGAAATGCACCTTCCAAAGGAGATGATCAAATTAGAATTATACAATAATGCATGGGTACAAAATAGTGATTAAAAATTCATATAAAAACAGTTAAATTAAAGTTTCACACTATTGCTAAATATCAAACATTCTCTTCCACTGTTCCACTGTTAAAGTTCAGAAATACCAACAAAATTTTAAACACTGTTGTACTACCAACAGAACAGATAGGAAAAATATGTACAACCCCCCAAGGAGATTATAAAATTAAAATTATACAATAAAGGGTGGACAGCACAGAATAGTGATTAAAAAAATTATATTAAAGCAGTGAAAGCTACATATTATTGCTACATATCAAACATTCTCTTATTTTAATGATCCGGTGTTGAAGTTACAGAAATACTATCAATAAAATTTTGCTACACCATTCTACAATCAACGGAAGGATCCTCTTTTATGAAAAGATATTTTGTGAAGGGTCCGTTAACGGACCCAAATTTCTTATAAACAGACCCCTGTATAGATACGAATAATCTTCCCATTTTGCCATTAAATATGGCTTACTCAATATGTTAGACAAATTTATTAATATGCTATCTAGAGTATGTGTTTTCAATTTTACAAGTCAATATTAATATAATGAACTGCAGTGTAAGGTATTTTTATCTTAACTAAATCGCTCCCAAATTTTTTTTGGAGAATATCCTTCAAATGCATCCTAATATATTAAAAAAAAAAGTAAATACTGCCAATAAAAAGTGCTATAATTTTAATGACTAGAAACCAAGGTTTTTAATTTAATCTCAGATATAATTAATATAATTTTACATGGGAAAATGCAAAATTTGAATGAAATCTGTTGAATAGTTCCTGAGAAATGGAATTTTAAATATCTAACTTTTATTTTTTGAAGTCTGTGTTCTTTACACCCTAGGCTGCTGTAGTACTGGGTTGTCACTAAATAGGGAGAATAAGGAAAACCTGGAAAATAGATGGAATATAAAAATTATCTAAATTAACAGCATATTAAATTTTTCCTTATAAACTAGGAAGTGCAGGGAATTTTATTCTTTAACTTATAGTGTTTGTATTCTTTAACTTATAGTGTTTAGTGAAGTGTTCAATAAACTTGCTTGTAACAGGGCTCGAAAAACCACCCGTCCTCGGCGGTCAAAAATTCCCCACGGACAAAAAATTTCTCTAATCCAGCGTCCGCGCGGACGGCCGTTTTCCCGTAAATGTTCGTGATACATTTTAAATTTTTTTTATCTTACAAGAGTCTACCGCCTCACTTCTAAAATGACCCTCTGATCTCGAAATACAGCAACACACTGTGCATGGTGGAATTGATGTTTTCTCTGTCAGGGAGTACTGCAGCGGTTGAAAGGGGCTTTTCAGCAATGAACTTACAAAAAAACACATTACTTACTGGTCTTAAACAAGAAGCGTTAAACGCATTTATGAACATCTACCTAAATGGAAAACCTCTTTCAGATTTCTGTGCAGAAACCTCTGTAAAATATTGGCTTGATTGTGGAACTGGCAAACGTCATATTTGATTCATTTAAAAAACGCAGTACCATCGGATAAATTGACATAATTGACAGATAACTTAACCTTTGTTATTTAAATTATTTCATCAAAGAAATAAATTATTTCATAATAGAAATACTAGGTTTTACTAATAGTACCCTAGTATTTCTTTTATTACTGTATAATGTAATCCTAGTATTTGTAATCGTAATAACTACTAACTAATTCATTGTGCAATTTATATAAATGTTTGTAATAAATAAGAGAAAATTATATTTTTATTTATTTAGAAGCGACGGGTTAATTTCAAAGGAGGATGGGTAAATTGTTGGACAAGCGGTCCTCGGGGACGGGTAAAATTTCTGAGTTTTTTCGAGCCCTGGCTTGTAATATACTAACATATTCATTCTTTAATTACAAAGGAAACAGAATTAGACCGTCTACAGAAAGCTAGAGAGGCTGAATTAGGCTATGTGAAACGTCAAAATGAATTGGAAGTTGAGAAAACAAAGCTACTTTCTGAAATTGAAATTAATAAATTTGAAAAGGTGATTACAAGTCTAGGAAGTGATACCATTCAAGCAGTTGCGTCAGCTGGTCAAGAATTTCAGGTTTGTTTTTTTAATAAATTTAATCAGTTTCATTACTTTTGTGTGATTGGTTTATATATTTCTGTGTGTAAAACGAATGTTTTATGTTATAAAATAAAATTTTAACTATATTTTAAAGTATTTCTTTATTTTCAATACATTTGAACTTTTCCATAACATGAAATCTTTGGTAAATACTCATTAAAATAAAGCTGTAGAAAAGTTAGTCTTTTCTAAGCTTTCTGAGCATTTTTCTAATCAACCTGAGGAGCCCAAACTATCTGTACACTTTTATGTCTTCAATTATATTTATTTCAAACCAATCATTTCTCTCATTGATTCATTCATTATACTTTATTTTGGGGTTGAATAATTTCATTTCAATCGTGATTCAAATTGCAATTTAAATCACTTGATTTTTAAAATAAAATAAAAAAATCACTCAAAATGACTATCATGTTTTTAAAAACTTTTTTTTTTAAAAATGTAATTAATAAATAAATATGTTCTTTGAGTTTGAGATTTCATGCAAAGAAATAATAAAAGAGAGATGGACTCCAAAAGGGACACATTTTTTTAAAAATGGATTGAAAAATTAAAAAGTAGAAAAAGTAAAAGAAAAAAAGACTGAGAAAACAGGAAGCTTTTTAATTATAATTTTATCTTAGGTATATGTAAAATAATTTGCAGATTATAAATATAATTTAATAATACCCATTTAATTTTATGTTAATTGAGAAATAAGTGCTTATACAACTTACCAGTATGTAATCAGTGTATATCAATAATGAAAAAAAGACTATTCTTACACAGACTAAATTAAAATATTTTTTAGTTATATTTTTTTATTTAAATTTGTTCCCTGTCCTAATAATGAGTTTGAACAAAAACTACAATTCTTTTATTTATTCAGTGATTAAATAACAATGTTCCAAATGATTAAATAACAATTTTAGTCCAAAATATAATTTGTTTTTATCTATGATATTGTTTTTTAAATAATTAATACATTTTGGCAGATGCTTTGGTAGGTTATTGTAAAAAATGAAGTCTGATTTAAACAATAAGAATCCTGTTTTTTTACAATTTTGTTTTCTTTCTGCCGTGTATTGTCTGTTATGAAAGAATCTAGCCGATTGATTCTGGTTTTATTTTCTTGCTCTTCAGTTCCATCAGTCACAAATGCATCATTTAACTGATTTGTTACTTGGGCCAAAACGTTTTTCTATCAAGCTCAGCATCTGGAAAACCAGTTTTCAACCTAAGAAAATTTGCAATTAATACCTCTAACTCAGTTTTGGGTTTTAAGGCTGCTAACTACCATGTTTTTTACAAAATATTTTATAGAGTGGTAGACCGTTAAAAATTAAAGCTTTCGTAATTTTGCCAACATTTTAAAACCCTTACCATAAGACAGCTAGAGCAAAGTGGTGTTTCATATGAACTTTTGACTCATTTACATGGTGATGTGAAAAATGATTTAAACTCATACTAACAAAACACAGAATTGTCCATAAAGACGTAAACTTAGCCGTTACTAGACTAAATTTTCCCAAAAAGCGTTTGAAAGTTGACAGTCCTGTTTAACTATAATATCTTTTTGTATCAAGGTTATTGTTATTTTATGTATTTAACATGGTACGTAGCGTTTTTAAAAAGTGTTTATTTTCGTTTTTAAAAGCCCTTAAAGGGGCTTTTTTCATTGTTTTTAAAAAGTGCTTAATTTTCCCTTTTCAAAAATGAGATTTAATTGTTTGCCATGTCGATTTTTGCCACATGCTATGCAAATGCGTGCTTTTCACATTGTTCTATCCAACATTTTCACTATTCATTCAACCACAATCCATTTTGGCATACCGTCGGTCCATAGTGTATGAAAGTGCCAATCATTTTACGTGTTTGATGAAATACTTGCAAGTCGGCATGTGCGTCTGCTGGTCTGGGTTCGGTGAGATTATTGCACTCTCATGTGCAACTCTACTGAATTTCGAAAGATATTTTCAATTTCAAGCTTCATTTTCCACCATCTGATATCGAATCGCAATATCTCTTGATTATTTTATAATAGCTAATATAATAAAAAAAAAGTTCTTTGTCAGAAACTAGTTATTTTATCATGATCATGTAAAGTCTTTAAAATTATTTTGCATTTTTTAATGTATATAATGCTTAGAAATATTTTTTGAGTACTTAAAAAGTGCTAATTTCTTGTCGAAAGATTTGGCTATGCACCCTGTTTAAACATTTATCAATTTCAGGTTAAACTTCTCCAAGGTCTTGGAATCCAATCAGCTCTTATAACTGATGGAAACACTCCTATCAACTTGTTCGGTACTGCGCAAGGTTTCCTTGGCTCAGCACTAACTGGTGTTCCTGAAAAAAGACGCCGTATGGGAAGTGATGGGGAAGGTTCTTATACCTAAAATCTAAGTAAACATTATGGTAATCCTGTGCTCTTATTATTTCCTTCAACAGTAGACTCAATTTAGAATTCATTAACGATTTTATGTTTTGTGATTTTTTCCTCTGAGCACAGAATGGCATTGAGAGAGAATGGCACTGAGGCTTCTAGAAGTGTGTAGTTATCTACTTTAGCACATTCCTTTTTATATATTAACCGAAGCTTATACGTGATTTTTTTTTGAAATTTTGTATATTGATTTTGGTGCTTTCATATTGAATCATTTGTATTTGCAACTGAGTATTTTGTGAAAATGTTATTATATTTAATTGAGAGATTTAAAAACGTTAAGATTTGTCGACAAATAATTTATTATAATGCACATGAATTGAGTACAAGCATCGATGATTCATAAATCAAAAAAATAAAATAATAAATAAATTTATCTAGTTTTCATATAAGTTTTTAGATTATAATTTTCATAAATGCAACATGTGACTTAGCAAACATGTAATAAGTGTGACAAAAAAGCATGACTTTCTGTTTGATGCACCTCTATAAAATTTGCTTTATATATATGAAGTAAAGCTTTTTCCGCAGCCCATTGTGGGGTTCATTGATTTTAAGGCTTCACAATTTGATGACCAAAGGCATGATTGTAGCAATATAGTCACCAGGTAGCAGAAACCCTCCTGCAGGGCAGCCCATGATGCAGATTATTTTCCACCAGTGTTTTTAAAAAATTAAAGACAGAAAAAATGAGAATTTTTTTAAAAAAATCTATCTATTCTGAGTGTATTTTCTTATAAATTAGGAATAGTTTTTATTTTTTTTTCATCTGCTAAGTACCTGTGATGGTATGGAATGAATTTCGTTGAAAGAAACTTTAAGTAGGCTCAAATCTGAATACCTTGAATTACAATTCTCTTTAAAATGAAAAGATTTTATTTTGATACTAATAATCTGCAAGTTAAACCATTCTTTCTGAATTCTTTATTTAGCTCAATGTGATAAAATGTTTTTTCTCCTTTTCGACAAAGTTAAGGGTGTTTGCATAAAATTGAAATTAACTTGTATAACATGTGTATAATGTGTAACTTTGTTATCTATCTATATAAAAATGAATGTTTGTCTGTGTGTGTGTTCGTCATGGACTCCTAAACTTTTCGACCAAAAGCAATTAAATTTGGCAAACAGATCATTTAAAGCACAAGGAAGGTTACTGTCAAGATTAGAACATTCTACGATGTATAGTTTAAGCGAAAAAGATAATGAAATTTTCTGATTGGTTAAGCGTTAGCCATTGTTTTAAATTAAACTATGGGCTGTTCAATTTTTCAAATATTTTAAAGATAACACCAGTGATATTTGCTAGCTTATAGCTCTATTTGATCAAAACAATTATTGTACATATTTTAATATTTAATTATGTTTTATTCACCATCTCAGATAAATCAATGAGCAACATTGTGGTGTGAAAATTCGTGGAATGCGAACCTTTCAACTTTTGTCCAAATTTCAAATTCATAAACGGTTCTAGAGTTAAGAGAGTCACATTCACACAGACAAACTCTTTATTTTATTATTATGTATATGGAACTAATAGCTGTTATCATCAAAAACACTTTTGAGCCATTATGAGATTGTGGCTTATTGCTTCAAGCCTTTCAAATATAGTTATTTTTATATTGCTGTTCTAAATCAGCCCTGACACAATATGTTATGTGCCATTAATAAATTTCTTCATTAAATTTCTGTGATAAAAAACAGTATTGTTTGCTAGATGTGGCCTTAAATTGTAGTATAAATATGAATTTGGCTTCTTGACATGCAATTAAGAGCTTCTATCAAAATTTATCTAGTATAGAAATATATATATATACAGTAGACGCCGCTTAATGTGATCACATCGGGACGAACATGATTTGATAACAATAACCGATTGATTACAATAAACAAAAAAAAAAGTTAAGCTAAAAAATGATTTTTTTTACATACGTATTAAAATAAAAAATATTTTAAATTAGGAGTTGTTGCTGTAAGACTCTGAAGTATTTAATAGAAATTAATGTACACTAAAGAAAAAGTATTAGTATACTCACATATTTATTGATAAACTGCAGAAAACAATACAAAATACAAAAGGTTAATTATTAACTGAAAAAGAAATCATCAATTGTCGATTGTTTAGCATTCTTTCGAAGCAATTCATTTACGAATCGCTCATAATCATAATGTTTATGAAAGTGTTCCGCGTCGGCTTTGTTTTGCACACCTAGCCGTAAGACTCGAAGTGCCTCCCTCATCTGAGCAGGCGTCGGAATTTTGTCCTCGATAGCACTTTCAGATTCATCATCGGCATCAGAATCTTGTGACGAAGACACATCTGACACATATGGTTTCTGATGGTGATCTTTGACACATATGGCTTCGCAAATGTCCTCATCAGTTAACGAAGTAGAAGTCTCAACCTTCTCGTCGATCTCCATCCATGCTTCAAAATCCTCAGCATTCATATCGGGCGGGGGATTGAAAACGTNTATATATATATTAATTTAAACTAAATATTACAGAAGTTATTTGTGTGTGATCCAGTTTCTCTGAAAGTTCCTATAACACTGGATTGGTATAAAGTAGTAATGATTTAGTTTTTGAAGTGCTTTATTTTTCTAGTCATTGAATTTCAAAATTGTTGATTTTGAAGTTTATGGCATCTAAATCCAAACATTTAATTAAACAACTGTAGTCAATATTTTAAAATCAAGTTGTTTCGTTTTTAAAAAATGTAACTTTAAAAATATTTTTTTACTGCTTTTAAGAAACAAAAATATAATAAATAATTTAAAATCCTTTATAGCCCATTAAGTTCATATGTATATGTATATTTTTTAATCTGTGAGGTCGGAACAATAATTATGATCTTTAAAAAATAATGGAATGGTCATACTTAATTTTTCTTTTTTTTTAAGGCATAATTTCTAAGTCATTAAGACTAATAGATAAGTATTGTGATATTTTAAATTGTATGGTCAGAATTTTTATTTTATTAAATGAACAGTTTTTGATGTTTACTTTACTGGTATATGAAATTTTATGTTGCATTTTTGTTTACTTAACCGTTGAACTACTTTGCATACTCTTCATTGACTGTAAATTTTGGAAATTGTTAGTTTTAAAATGTATAATTTGCAATAAAACGTTCTTTGTTTTATATTGTTTTGTATTTTAATTTATCTAAGTGTTTACTTTCTATCAACAGCAAGCAAGTTTCAGTAATAAAAAAGTTGCACAAATGGATTTTTTCCCTCATTGTTTTTTATTCTTCATTGCATTGACCAATATTTTATTAAAATTTTAAAATTTGTTTCTTTCTTGTTCGATTCTCCACCCAAAAAGAATCACCCTAAATTACTTTACTCTTGTGTTCACCTAACAGTGTGACCACTCTTATTAGAAACAGGAAAAGATTGAAATTCTAAGAGAATTTGAAAATAAACAGTGGAAAACCTGGAATTCTCTAGGAAATTTGAAAACAGATATTTTGTTGCACTTTCACAAACGCAAGTCATGCACTGCCCAATTCATTCAATTGGGAGAATCTGGGTTCTCTAAAAGGACTTGCATAAGTATGTGAGATACTGCATGAAGTACAAAATCTCTCTAATAACATTTGAAAAGGAAAAATTCTCAGGGAAATTCCCATTCAACTCTGAAAATTCAAACCTTTTCTGAATGCCGGTTTTTAAAATTCACTAAATTTAAAACCGTACAAGTTATTTAAAAAGAGAAAAAAAATCTCATTCAGATAAACTTGGGAAACTAATAATAACTTTTATTTTGTGTTTAGAAATCCTTAAGCTATGATTGATAAGTTACCTCTTATTTAAATCGACTTTAATATATGCTGCTAAAAATTCCACACTTTGTAAATTATCAGCACTCTTTTGTACTGCAGTAGTTCTGGAGATGAGAAACATCAATTAGATGTGTATGATTCAAAAACTTCAACACCTCTGTCTTCACATTCTAAGAATGTTTTAGTCCCGCAGTGTACTGATCGTAAAGACACGGTTCCCACTAGAACACCGAAGTCAAGCATCACTGGCTGTGGTCAGTAAGTGGGAGGGTGGCCGATCAGTCTACGTAGGGACCGAGGGTGTGCGGTGTCGGTCCCCGTTAAACTGTTTTACCGTAAAGTTCTAGACTTCGTTCACAGGTCGTCGGGCTACCAAAGCAGGGGAGCTATTCCCCTCTGCAGAGGATCAAAATTGCGATGGCATGTCTTCGGATCATCCTCGGGAATGTTTCCCAGATCGCCGCCAATAGCCCATTGTGCAGTTCTAGTGCGGCGTAAATAAAGTACAGTTGGGAACCAATTATCCGGAACGATCGGGACCATCGCTATTCCGGATAACTGATTTTTCCGGTTTTCTGAATCGCTACAAGAGCCATTTTTCTTATTGTTAAACCCAACTAAAAAAAAATGTTTAGAAATATTCTTAAAAAGAAGAAAAAATGATGAAGTAATACACTAATGATTATTTCCAAAATGATGGTAAGGTAAACATCTTTCAAAAAAGAAAGAAAAGTCCTAAAATCTTATGAGGAAAAAAAAAATTTTTTTTTAAAATATTGCGGGAAAATTTATCGAATTTCGTTCCGGTTTTTTGGTTTTCTGATTTCCGGATAACGGGTTCTGTACTGTACCTAAGAATGCTTTAAAAACTATTTAAATGCAATTGAATTATAGACATACCAATACATACTGCCGCTTTCTACGATTTACTCTCTATTTCTGCTTGGATTGCCCGCCCTCTTGAATCAAGCTGATTTCCACCAAATGGGATGGGGCAAACTTAAAATTGCCTTTCTTTGCAAAAGAAATTTTTTTATTTATGCTGATGATGCCAATCTTATCACGTCTCTGGAAATTAAGGGGTGTTGGTGTGTTATTTTTATTTATAGATCAGTATCACATTGCTTGAACTTGTGAGTTATTCACTAATCAAGTTTTTCATCTGGGTTTGGGACAGTCAACGACAGAACCTCAACATTTCCAAAATTTTCTTCTCTCTTTTTGAATAAATAAATATAAAATTTAATGATATATCTCTCCCCGAATGTTATATATTCAGGAAAGAGAAGTGTTGGAGGATCCAGAAAAAGAAGTTGAGCTAGACCTAAAATTAGAGCAGGAACAGCTACTGGAAACCAATATTATTACGTTCTACAGAAACTGTTGAGATCTATATAAATAAGCATTGAACTTAAAATTCTTAATAAAGTGATAATTCGACATTGTGCAATATGAATATGTGATCTACTTTTATTTAAAAGACTTTCGACTGTTGATTCTGCACAAAATTACGATCGGTGAATGAATAAATCGGTCCGTCCTGTAAAACGGGCTGTGACGCGTGGGTGAGTGTGGCTGAAGTCGTATTCTTGGCCATAGATGGCTCCACTGAAAAACAAGAAACGCACTCATCTACCTTAAATTCGCTTGGTTTCAATCAGCAGGCTTGCTTAGAAACAACAACAGATTTTCGGCGCAATTTGTAAGGATTGACGTTAAAGGTTCTTTGAATATGTATTCTGATATATATTCTCGCAATGTGTCCACCGAATTATTTTAAATTTAAAGTCTTCAGTCCATTTTTTTATTGTCATAATATTCTTACTTTATTTTTTTAAGAGGGGGTTAAAAGCACCGTCTTCAGTTTCTTATATTACGTAAATTGTGTTCTGAACGCGTGGCCTAAGTATTTTTACCAATGCAGCTTACACCCTCTTTTGAAAAACTAGCTAAAAGCTTTCCAACTTCCAAAGAAGAAACTTCTTTCTTTAACTGCACTTAGACCAGGTCTATTCATAACGCTTTTGGTCTTGTTTACGGATAGAGAAATGTCCAATCGTGGTGCTTTTGCATTAGATTATGAGACCGGATCAGGTACGTTTGAACACTATTCGTTTAGTTGGAATCAGAGATTGACACCCTGTTGAATCTACTACATGAACTCGCCGCTCCGCGGTTCCTCCTAATAGACTACTAAGAGTCACTACTAGAGAGAGAGTGGACCAATCTTGAAATACGGTTCTTCGTAGATCATCGATGCGTGTGGATGACCACTTTAATCAGCCTGCGTAGGGACCAAGGTTCTGCGGTATCGATCCTTGTTTACTATTCAACAGTAATGTGCTTGATTTCGCGTCGGGCTGCCAAAGTGGAGTAGCCATCCTCTAAGCAGAGGAT